AGATCCACCAACTCAGTCGCATCGGGAGAATTTTGCAAATTGAAACGAGCAATAGAACTAAAATATTGTTAAGTCTTTGTGTCGTTAGCGGCTGCAACATCTTACTTTTTTTGGAGCGAGATAACTGATTCTTAATTAAAAATTCCGGTGAGAAGCAAGTTTGCTGTTCAACATCTTCAACTTAGGTGCTTTCCACCTAAGTTATAGATGTTTATCAAAAAAGTTAAATTTTTTAAATTGAACTGAGACATATTTCTATGAGTTCATATGGTTCCAAAGCGAAAAGCTTGAGCCACATTCGGATTAGTAATATCAAATGTTTCAACTAAAAACTTGATGACAACACTTTTCACCTCCTCATTCTCAGATTCAGGTAGACCAGAAATTCTCACATTCTTTCTACGAGCAAATTGATTAGTTTTTTCAATCTTATGCTCAAGACAGAAAAAAATATGAACAAACTTGGTGACTTCAGCATAAGATTTAATCTTCAATTCAAAACTTTCAACCACTTCATGCAATGTAGGAGTAGCAACACTGGAAGCTTGAGAACCAAGTTTTTTCTTAATATCCTCTATCTATTCCGAAATATCAACCATAATCTTCTCAAAAATTTTTTAGTAGAGCTTCAACTCTCGAATTTCATATTGAGTTGCAATTAAAGTAGAACTCTGTACCTTGAGTTCTGCATAAAGTACTTTCAACTTTTCCAAAACCGTTTGCAGAAGATTGAGTATCAAATCGTCTTGAGATGTCATCATGTGAATGACTCTCAAAAACTCAAGACTGAAATACGTTTTAACTTCAATTTCTAAATTACATTCAGTCTCAGACTTTGCAAGTTTGTGCTTCCTGCCCAGTTTTAAGCTCCCACAAAGTTTCAGGTCCAAAGCAAACTCCAACCCGAAGATACGGCCCCTGCAAGATTCGGCCCTCCCTCTCAAAAAACTCAAGCCTCCAAGACATGTCAACTTCTTACTTTGAATTGCATTCAGTTTGAGATTTTGCAGGCTCGTGCGCCCTGCTCAACTTTAACGTCCTACAAAGTTTCAGTTCCAAAGTACTTTCAAGCTAAAAGAAATAGCTCACGTAAAAATCTATTGCCCTCAAATCTTGAAACTCAAAGCTCAAAACTCAAAATTAGACGCACTCTGTTTCTGAAACTCTGTTTGATCTGAAAATTAACAAGCTTGATTGCCCTGCCCAACCTCACAATGCCACAAAATTTCAGCCCCCGTTCACACTCCAGCTTGAAGATACGGTACTGCAAGATTTGACACTTCCCTCCCAAAAAGCTCAAACCTCCAAAATGTGTCAACTGCTTGCTCCGAATTGCGTTCGGTCTGAGATTTTGCAGGCTTGTGCGCCCTGCCCAGCTTCATCGATCCACAAAGTTACAACTCCAAGTCACTCCCAAGCTCAAAAAAAAATTCCCGTAAAAATCTCTTGCCCTCAAATCTTGAAACTCAAAGCTCAAAACTCAAAATTAGATGCACTCTGTCTCTGCAATGCCGTTCTAAGTTCTTCTAGATCTTCTAAGTTTCAACATATTTCATCACATACTAATTTGTTTGTGAGCAAAAATCGTAGCAACATTGTGGTTTTTTGCGCAAAAATCGTAGCAACTTTTTTGCAAAAATCGTCATTAGCAAAAATATTTATGTTGGATTTTGAGCAATTTTTTTACTTCTTAAAAATGCATTGATGAAGAATATATCAATTTATATTACTATATTTGTTGTAAAATGTTGTGTGATCAATGTGTTTGTATGCAAATATCTATCATGTTGTTGAGTATTATAATATTTCTACTAAAATGAAAAGTCGCACAAATGAAACAAAAAATCACAAAATGTGCTATATTTTTTTTTGGAGAATAATTTTCATAAACTATAGAGACTAACTCTAATCAACTGATTTCTTTTCTCTCACAATCGTACTACGTTGATATTGATATCAATTAAAATTATTGTGATAAATTATAACTTGTATTACAAATCAACATGAGTACAATGTTTTGTGTATGAACAAACAAAAATAATTTTTACAAATTTATCAAAAAAAGCATCAATAGAATATCACAAATAAAAAAAAATGTTTGATCAACAAATTTAACTATAATAACACAAGGTTTGGTATGTATATAAATACCAAATATAGAAATTTTTGTTGATGTTAACTCTGGTTAAGGAGTTAACTGAGGTTAACTGCATATGTAGCTATTTATAGCTTAGAGTGGTTGACTATTTTAGGTATATATACCCTGAGGATAATGAAGTGTATCACTTCAAGCTGTAAACTTTCTTGAGTGTATTCCTTCGTGGACGTAGCCCTTGAGGATGAATCACGTTATACTTGTGTCTTCTATGTTCATCGTGTTGTTAATCTGCTCAGTCTGAGATTTAGACTACAATTGATATAAGAGCAGGTTCCGGTTCGGAGTCTGTGTCAGAATATGTTTTGTGACGGATTTCTAACACGTGACGTTTTTTTATGTGACAGTATTTGACGGTTTTTTGCAAAAGTGCCTGGTTTTATTGCATACAAAGCCTTTTTCTTGTCGTTGACAAATTTTCTGTTGCTGACGAGTTCTGTGACGATCAAAGAGTGTTCAAGCTCGTGCAAAAGGAGAGGTGTGAAGATTAAAAAGAAAGAGCTACCCAACGAAGGAAGATAATGAGTGTAACAGTTAAACGGCCGCTAGCGAGGAGATCTCCCCCGTCCGAGCAGTTAGAGCAATAGTGTACTTTTTGCCCCTTCCTCCACGCACATAAGAGTAGCAGAGCGGAGCCGCTGTGTATTTCTGTATTTACGGAGTGGCTGGAATAAGCTACCCTCTCCGCGGGAGAAGAAAGTAGAGGAGTATTTTCGGAGCGGCATGTACAGTGTATTTTTGCAGGAGTGTATTTCTGCACACAGCCCCAAGCAGGAAAGGAGAGTGGTCTTTTGTTTGTAGGAGCGGAGCGGATTTTCGATGCAAAAGCTATCTTCACGCAGGTTGGGAAAGAGCGGAGCGGCCTTTTGTTTGTAGGAGGAGTAGCCTCCCCGCGCGGTTAGGGAAGGAGGAGGAGCCCGCCCCACCCCCCGCGCGGTTAGAGTAGGGAGGTATTGTACGAAAGCTTGTGTGGGATATAGAAAATAGATTATGAGTTTAAGCACACCAGAATAAAAAAAAAAGTTAAAATCAATAGGTTAATTAAATATTGAGTTAATTCTAACAATAGAGACATTTGATTTTTTATAATTGGTGAAGTTTATTCTTTAATAATCAAATTAGAGTTATCATCTTCCAGTTTTATTTAATATTATTGACAATTTGAATGACTTAAGCATTATAACATAGCTTTGTTAGTTTGAGATAATAAAATAGCAACAGCAAGATGATAGTCAATCATATGATAAAAAAATATTAATGTAATCAAATTAATTAGAATAGATAAAAAAAATACCACACTATGTCAAAAATTTGTCTTGAAGTATCAACATCAATAACGCTTTATTTGATGATAATTACCTTGTTATGTAACCGGATACTTTGAAAGTATATTCATAAAGAAATAAAACACTTGAAACAAACTATTCTAGAATTTACATTTGATATATATCTAATCTTGTTGCAGGAATTACAAATTTATTTGAAAAATGTCATCTCTACTTCTACCTTCACTCTAATCATATCTTGGTTGGGTAACATCTTGTTGTCACCAAGGTGTCTTCTACGTATGTTACCTCCTACTTAGATTAAGTAAATAAAACTCCAAGTACATTTCACAATTTTCTAGCCTATCTTTTACAAATATATCTTAACTAAAGTTCGAAATAAAAAAAAATTCAGTGGAAATTGGTTTTCCTGAATAAGCTACATCACCACGATACAAAGAACAAACAATAGAATTATTTTTTATCTACACATGATAAAAATCTATTACACTACTTTTCGTCTCCAAGTGTACATTTACTCAAGTCAATTTCTTTTTAAACACAAAAAATCAATATAACGGGATTCATCTAAATGCAGGGCTACAAACACAATAGAAAAATGAAAAAAATATATTACAATAGTGAAAATAATCTTGTAAAGTTAGAAATCTATACGTTTCTAGAGTTTAAGTATATTCATTCATGACAATATTTCCCAATTAAATTTTTTGGAGTTCTAGAGCTAAAAATATTTTATACTTGGAATTGATGTATCAACTTTTTCATAAGAATGATTTGAATTTTGTTAATAATAAAATTTGGATAAATTTTTTTACCAAATTTACATAGGTTTTATTTAGATAATGACAAAATATTTAGTGTGATTATGAAAAAATTATTATTTCGATCAATCATAAACTTTATATTAATCTTTTAGACTAAAAAATTAATTATCATTTATCATAAAAAAAAACTTGAATATGTTTGTGATATTCAATACCAAAAGTTAATTTTTTTACTTAAAAATGTTATTATTTATATTTTAAAATTGATGAGTTCTTTCATTGTTTTAATTTTAAAATATATTTTATAATAATTTATTTTTGTTAAAATTTGTTCAATGTTATTTTTATATAAATTTTTTCATTCATTTAATGTCGATGAAATTGATATTATAAATGTTTATTTTAATTTATGAAATTGCAATGAAAATCTCAGCAAATGTAACTTGCTTGAATTTTCAATTGGTATTGGAAAAGATAAAATTAAATATTTAAAAATATTAATTAAATTCTATAATGTGTGACAATAAAAACTAATCAGAATAGAATCTCTTCAAGTATTAAATACAATTTAATTTCATATTTAAATATGTCGTAATTGCTTTCGATTACAATTGAAAACACCATATACAATTAGACAAGAACTCTTGTCTCCAAGCTCCAATCGTTTATGTAATATGTGAATGCCGTACGTGGTCATTAAAACGGAATGTTGGCCTTGGGGCCGAATGGTCCTATGAAAGCAACGCAATTGGCAAGTGGAACGTGAAAGAAACGTTGGACGCGGCTGGGAAGGATCGGGTCCGGAAGTCGCAGCGTCGCCATGAAGAACAGAGGACGGGGCACGGGGACAGTGGCCGCGAGTGCCGCGCCCGGCGGTCCCTCTAAGAGGACACTCGGGGCCATTCTGCGCTCTCGGGCGCGTCTGATGAGCTAGGGTGCGTAGTCTCATCGCTCCCTGCTCCGTCGAGAGGCCGAATGGGGATGATGGACGACCTTCTCATTCCGCCCCTCAATTTTGCCATGGTCGATCAGGGCGTGTACCGATCGGGCTATCCCAATTCCAAGAATTTCACTTTTCTGCACAAGCTGCGCTTGCGTTCCGTCATGTATGTATATTCCTGCTGCTATTTTTTTCCCCAATTGTGTGGGAGTATGAATTTTGCTCTGCGATTTCCTCTGCGACCCGGATAGGGTTGTGTTAGAGTCTCTCGTTCGACGATCAGCGGGCAATTCCTTTGTGCTAGAATAAGACGCCGAAGTTGTCTGGCTCCCGCTGTGCTTCTCAATTATGTTTCTTGCTCACATTTCATCTCAACTATTCGACATTTCAAACGTCGCACAGTTGAGATGAAATGTGGATAAGAAAAATAATTTTATCCAGAGTAGTCGAACTGACTAATCGACAGTTTCGGTACATTGCAAGTCCTGCTTATTCAGCTAGGTCATGGAACTTCAACCTTAAGTAGATCCTCAGATGGTTGGTAAGGAATTGGGACGGTGGTTTCTGGCAACGTAGAATTGAGGAATGGATTGTAATCGTGAGTCGCTTGCCGCTCACATTCTCACCTTCTTCAGGTCATGTACTTTTCAGATACCTTTGCCCTGAACCATATCCAGAGTCTAACTTGGAGTTTCTGAAGAAAGACAATATTACTCTGTTTCACTTCGGCATTGAAGGAAACAAGGTTAGATTCTTTGTTTGGATTTTGCAAATTGTTTTGCACTCATCTTGAATTGTCTTGCTTTCAGGGCCTCTTTTTAAGACCAGTATGGCTCGTAGCATCCTTGTGGGCCTCCAGCTTGAAATTGGTGCCTTACACTTCCAGGTCTAGACGTGACTAATCTGAATTCGTTCGGTTGATGAATGCTTTTACAGGAACCGTTTGTGGACATTCCAGAAGATGTTATTAGAGATGCTTTGAAAATACTACTGGGTAATCTTCTCACTTAAGAGTTCTTTCAGCTTCTTGATGATATTTATTCATATGTATATTGCATCTGGTTATTCTAGTTTCTCATCGTGTTATTGGACTTGGATGCTGGTGGTCATTGCAGACGTCAAAAATCACCCCATTCTCATTCACTGCAATAAAGGAAAGGTCTGTATAGTAGGCTTTCCCATCAATTTTTGAAACTTCCGTCCTCATAGTTTCAAGTTTTGAATTGTACTGAAGGGTCTGAACCTATTCTCTTTGCAATGTGTCTTGTTTTGGGGTCACTTGTGCAGCATCGGACAGGTTGTCTTGTGGGTTGCTTGCGAAAGGTCCAGAACTGGTCTTTGACTTCCATATTTGATGAGTATCGACGATTTGCCGGCACTAAGGTGCGCATGCTCGATCAACAGTTCATGGAACTCTTCGATGTTTCATCGTTCAAGCAGTTGGCACGAGTGTGGACTTCTGGACGAGGGCGACCGAGAAATGGTCAACTGACCGGTACAAGGGTGGAGCCTGCTCCACGGACCGGAATTTCTACCTTGGAGAATGCCGGAATTGCTGTTTTGGCAAGGCCATAGGTAAAGTTCCCATCAATTTGTTACCATTGCACCTCCACGGTCAACTTTTTCTTTCTTAAATAATCTTATCCTTTTTATTAAGATGGTTATGGTGCTAACGATCTTAGCCTGAAATGCCGCAGATATTGGGAGCAATTTGTTGTGTACGTTTTATCTGACAACTTTCCTTTCTGCTATTGTACAGAAGTGACTGCAAGTAGAATTTCTATTAGTCTCAGCTTCCGGAGGCTGACGTGAGTACTCTCTGCGCACACTGCTTGAGAAGTTTGAAAAGGTCGCCTGATTCTCCCTGTATATACCCATCTTGTAGCTTTCAAGAATCAGCTGACTCTTCCTTCAGGTTTACTACCTGTTCGGAAAGGGAAAGGGCTAGGCGTTTGAAGTTGGAAGTTGTTGCCCTGCCCATGTAATTTGTGGGGCGCTTTTGATAGATATGTCTGTTTATAGAAAACGTGGGTAACTTTTTATACCCACACTGGAATGGAATTTTCTCGCCAGTTTATAGGTTAGTGCCAGCATCGTCTTCCATCAACATCAATTTTTTTTCTAAGAGGAGAAGAGAAGAGGCATCGTCTTCCTTCAACATGAGTTTGTTTTCTGAAAAGAGAAGAGAAGAGGAATTTTACCATTTGAACAGAGTGCCTACTCACAGCAAGAAGGCATATATTCTCGTTTTGTACCTATAGAGAATCATCAGAATCTAATTTAGTGCCTGGTCGTATGTACCTTAAGCTCTGGCACTACCTCTGTAAAATGTGGGGCCCTCTAAAACAGAAACGACTGTTTGTAGAAAGTCGCACTGGCCTACGCCCACGATGCGGTGAAACCTTCTCGCCATGCTGAGATGCTGTTGGTGGCGTGTTTTCGGTATATGTACAAATTGATTTGTGAAGGGAGAAAAGAAAGAATGTACCAATTGTGCAGAGGACCAACTCCATGTATGAAATTCAGTTTTGTATATATCAAGTACTACTCTTGATTGATAGTGCCAACGCGGATGAAAATTATAAATTAACGAATGTAACTCGTGAGTTGCACAGCCCACGCTGATAGGAAGCAAAAGATGCACACACAATGTGCTGACTTAAAAATCTCTTGAAAAATCATGTACCATCAATTCTGTCCACTGAAACAATTCGACAAATCGCGTTGGTTTTCTGTTTCACTATCCACATTTTCTGAAACAGGTTATTATAGGCACTTGTTCGGTGTATCAACGTCTTCTTCAATTCTGCTTGTATGCAAGAATCAGATAATTCTACCATCCAATGAGATGAAACGGCAGTACAATTTTTTTTCTCATTCAAACTTCGCCTTCAACACATTCATCCAAACCGAGAGTGAGCTTGGGAACAGTAGAATTTGATTTTCGATGTGATTTTGTGAAATCGTAAAACATGAATTGTTATTAACTTTTCATGTTTCGAAAAATTACGGAAGGCAAATAATTCAGGCTGCCTGCAAAATCTCGCATCAAAGTAGCGGAAATAAACGTCTAAACCTACGTATCTATGTACAAAGCTTGCGTTGGCACGCTTGTTGTTCTACACTACTGATGGTAAAAAATCCGCAACGTGTTGGTAACTCAAAGGTAGCTAAAATTTGCTGAAGATTCTAAAAACATTTAGGTGCAAAGCCCCGATACTGTCCACCTTCAATGAGCTTTCCTCAATACGTTGAGCTCTTCGTTTGAGCTGAACATAGATCTCATTATTCGTCCAGACAGGATAACCAATAAATTGTGAACTCCTGCTAGACATTTGCCTCCAACGTCAAAACTTCGAATGCTCCTATATTTGACAAACCCTGCCGTCGGTTCAATAAACACTTCAGTATTGTGTTTGTTGATGTCGTCCAAAACGCCTCAAACGAACCTCTTCTTGAACAAGTTGTGTCGGGGCTTGTTGGGATCTCGAGCCTTTGCTTTCCCTCCACGACCCTTACCAGTACTGTTCCATAACCAATAAGGAGTAAACCACATCAGTAAATTAAGCATGCACATTTACTGCACACGTCCCAAGTGACCCACAACATCCAACAGCTGTTTTGTACAATGACACATTACTATAGACACAATAAGTTGGCTGCTGGATGAAAAGAAGAACCAGAACACGTACTAGACATGCCATAAGCATAGCAGAAAGGAAGTCCATCAACAAATCTATTAACGACCCAGAACTTCTTACCTGTACTCCATGTACATCATACCATCGGCACCCGAGTATCGGCTCATCTGCCCTTGAGTACGACGAGTTCGGAATCGAGTGATATCATCTACATCCTCCTCCAGCTCTTCTACTCCGGCTGCCTCCTCGCCGGCATTAAGTACCTGCAAGAGCCATTAAATAAAAGGTCCTGGTCAATGGGAGGCCAAGTCACTACTAATGCAACCAGTCGACATGCTGTGGGTTGCAAATGCTCGAATATTATTGAAGAATTTACCTTAGTAAGTAGATCCAGCTGATCTGCCCGACTGTAGAAACTAAGCTCCGGACCTGAACCTTCTGGAGGTAAACTTGTAATGACCTGGAGGACCAAATATGTTATGAATTCGTGTAAATTTGTGTACAAAAAATGAACCTGGATTTGTATGCCAACTTCTCTGTCCTTTGTTCATCCTTGTAGAGGGCAGGTGTCAAGATTCTCACCTTGAAACTGTATCCCTGATCAATCAAAAATTGTTGCCTTTTTGTGGAGTAATACATCTCCTGTACAAAGCATACAGAAAGGTGTTGAGATTTGAGCAGTATTCCAACATCATTGCCCCCAAAATAAATATGAATGATAAAGGAAAGTTTACCAGTCTTAGTTTTCACAGTGATTTTGGCGAGTAGACGTCACATTTGTGATTTTTTTCAAACAACTTATTTGAAATTTGCATACCTCGAACTCCAAACAACGGATCTCACTGGAAGGATTGTTCCTTAGCTAATCTAGCACAAGAAGCACAAGACAGAGAGCAACAGTACTGCAGTTTACAAGTTCGCTTATCCTTACTTGCGTATCTGTGGAGACCAGAGTGTAAAAGAAAGCATTGAACTCCTCTGATCCTCCGGCCATTCGATCCTTGTGCTTGCCCTGGTGCCATGAAAAAAAGGTATATAACAGGAACAACAAAGCCTCCAGTCTTTTCGAAAGAGTAATTTAGGAAAAATGACACTATGAATAGCTGATAGGTGGTACCTTGGCACGCAAAATACGTCCTAGACGTTGGGCTTCTTGTCTTCGTGAACCAGCATGTGATGAGATTTGGATGAGAACATTAGCTTCCGGAATATCGATAGAATTGTCTCCTACCTGCACGATGGTACGTTCATCCAATTCTCAGTACGAGTTGGCAAAAAGAAGAAGAAAGAACAAACATAACAATGATAGCGAGAATAAAAATAAAAACCATAAGGCCAAAGTGACTTTCCAACCTTGGATAAGAAGACAGTATTCAATTCAGTGCTGTGTTTGAAAGCCTGCAAAACACGTGTCCTTTCGTGATGACTGCAAATTGTCCAAACATTAAGACCTATATCAGTAAACTTGAAATGAATTCAGCCAAAGCGGAACCTGGTTAAAAGTTTGTCTGGCTCAGCAGGACATTAACCGGATGACATAGATAATATTTTATGAATCATCCATGTGAATGTGCTAATTTGCACAAATATATGAAACTTACAACTGAGCAGGCTGAAACTTACATGAGTCCGCTCTTTCAACATAACTAACTCGTAGCCTCACAAACAACAGAAGATAGAGGGAAGATATTATCCTCCAACCAACAAATCTACGTACCTGGTAGGACCATCTATAAACGGTCTGCGCAGCTTCTGGGCATATGCGCGCAAAGCAAATAGATTGTCTGAAAAGACAATGATTTTGTCTCCACGCTGTTGTTCATGAAACCGGATAAGAAATTCACATGCTCGAAACTTGTTTGGATTCATGACGTAGAGGCCCTGAATGAGATGATCAGAAGTCAGCACATGCCCACAATTAGTTCATCATTCAGACAGCTACGATCCACCCTCATATCATCACGAAGGTAGACTATCCCAACACAGAATTTCAATCGAGGTGTGTTGTAATTGCAACACAAGCAGAATAAGAAGGTAAATATCCACACCTGACGCTTTCTCGAGTTTTCCTTCTTCAGATACTCCGCATAGAACTCCTTCGTCATTGGACACCACACTTCGGCACATTGCACATTGGCAATGAACCCACCTTTGACCAAATCAAGCCAATTTGCTTCATACAATTTGGGGCCGATCAAAAAATTGAGATCACTAATCTTCTCATCTTCTCGCACCAGTGTAGCTGAAACACAGACGGTTAATGAGCACGATAGATGATGATTGTACAACATAACAAACTCTCGAGCACTATTATGAAACTTATGATTCACAAAGTACTTCAGTATTTCCATTACAATCTAGTGGTGTACAACGACCATGTAACTCACCGGTAAGTCCGAGTTTGCAATGAGACTTGGTAATGCTGATGACCTTTCTAAACATATGAGCTGGTACAACGTGCACCTGATGATCCATTGAAGCATGTAAACGGTCAGAAACTAACTATTTGCCAAGTCTTCCTTGATTCTTGTAGCTACCAAAAGTGTTGATCTTGATCTACCTTCGTAAAAAACTTAAGACATTTCACAGGAAAAAACACGAAGAGAACCTCGTCCATAAGAAGTAGTCCCCACTCTCGATTTTGTATCTCTTCAATGATCTTCTGTGACTCTTCTGAACGTTTGCCTCCAAAAGCAACCATGTTGTAAGTTGTTACGACAACACCAACATTGCCCCTTAATCTTTCCTTGCTGTCCGATGTGAATCGGGAGATTTGGTCATCTCTGATGGTAGACCACAGCTTGAACTGGAAAGCCCATTGATCAACTGACACTGCATTCGTTGCCAAACAAAGACAACTTTTGCGAATACGGCAAGCTGCAGAAACCCCCACCAACGACTTTCCCGCTCCACAAGGTAGCACAATGATGCCAGATCTTGCACGACCTTCACAAAACAAAAAATATACAGCCAGATGATGCTCCATCCACAGTTGAACTTTCATCTTTACCCTATTAGATGTAGAGCTGAAACCAATATTGTAGCCAACTTACCGTTTCCAAACATTTTGCTCAGACTCTTCTCTTGATAAGGTCGAGGTTGGGCCTGTGGTTTCAACTCCATAGCTACATCCGCATTGATCTGCGTTATTGTGGAGTTCATTATATTAGCTTATAATAGACTTCCAGTTGTGTTTATGAGTAATTTTTACTTAATGAAAAGCAGAATAAACTTACGGTATCATTTCTGAAGTCATACTCCTCCAACATGGGATAATTGAGAGCATTCGGAAGGCATCGCTGTTTTACATGCTCCACCTGTCATGATTCCGAAAAAATCACAGTTACCCAAACCGCGTAAATTGAAAGTAATCTCGTAATTGGTCGTTTCTGCCGAGATTACGCTCGGGAGAAAACTTAGAAAGAAAATTACCCCTTGGACTAGTCACAATGGTCATTTACGAGTGCTTTCTTCTTGGTTCCATCAGTGTAGAAACTATCCCTCTGCATCACATATGGGATATACCGAGTTTTCTGGGGTCTAAAAGACTGGACTCTCAATCATCAATGTTTGCCTGTAGTAGTCTTGATTCCATGTGCCTTTAGCACCTGGCTGAGCAATACTTGAGTTGATAAGAAAGTAGACGAGAACTTCATAACAGGTATTACACCAGATTTACCCTCAACTGATAACGCTCATACTCTCATGCAAGTATTGTCTCCTCTTCAACCTGAAGTCTCCAGAATATGAAGATTACCTGTGCAGGGTCGACTTCAAAAGAATGCATCTCTTTCTCCTCAGCAGCAGCCGCAAGCTCATCTGCTCCAAGTAGATCATTTCCCCCTTGTTCTAACGGTGCTTTGCTAACATGGAAAGACGAATTACCGTCTTTCGCGTTAGGCTGCAAGATCCGACAGTGACCACAATAAGAACAATCGCAAAGAGCTGACTGCTATAAACAAATCTTCATTCCTGCGTCATCGATTTTCATGTCCTTTGCTGTTCAAAAAGTACGTACATCAGCAGCAGAAATCCTCGCACGGGCTATGACGTCGTCACGCAGAAGCTTCTGCAATACCTGTACAAGATAGATTCATTACTATGTGAGCACTCACAAAGATAATAAGCCTCACACAAAAACTGAAACACTAAAAAAGCAAAGATCCAAGAGAAATAACCATGCACGCGATTACGTGGACGTGGAGTCACCGATCAACGTGGAGAAAGAATCTTATTAAGTCAACACTCCTGCTTCAGCCGGGCCGATGTCTCTACTATATTATATTCCACCTAAAGCCGAGGAGGAGGAAGAAAAAGATACTGACAGAGAAAGAGATCAATTTTGCGACCCCAAGGTGACACATCATATTATAAGATGATAAATGATCCCCGCATGAGCAAAGTGAGTTGAGTTGACAGCTGAATTTGGAGAAAACTTTACCTCTGGCATTGGGGACTCCACAAAATACCGATTCTTTTGCAATACGAGCTTCACTTTTCCGTAATTTAAAGTGGAGTCGCGAATAAAATCGATAATCTCCTTGTGAAGCTTTGTCTTGCTTAGTCTATCCAAAACAGTTATGATAGTCTCTGTTTCTAATCCAACTGAAACTGCCGCGTAAAGAGAATGAGGAGTCAAATTGTACTCGTGCATGGACTCCGGTCTGTGGACACAGATAGGCGAATTCATTCATCAAAATTTCACGGTGCTATCACAAGCTCTAGAGAAAAGTGGTTCTGTTGGGCATGTCTATCTCACTGTCACTTCTTTCAGTCCCATGACTCTGGATTCTCGCCATAATTCAAATTCCACTAATCCTCTCGTCTGAATAGCAAATCGATCAGACCTACGAGGATACAAATCCGGAAATCCCACATTCTAGGTTGGAGTTGTGGATCATACCTGCAAACGGGTTCTGAAATAGCGATGAGAAAATCATAGGCCTGTTTGTACAGGTGAGAAAAAGTTTCCAAAAAAATGTGCCCATCAGCGCACACCCAAAGTGGCCGATTCGAATGGTCCGGCTTCAACTCCAATTTCGTAAAATCCTTTTTCTCGATTTTCTCTGAGATTCCGAGAGAAGAAACTCATCAGAATGATCGGAGATGCTGCCAGCAATGGGCCAAAAAAACACCCTCGGGTAAAAATTTCAGTCCAGAATTTCAGAAATAACAACAAGCGACCGATCCGCGACTTTCTAATTGCAGCATGTCCTAAATTCCGGCTGATAAACGCAGGTCCGGCTCTTCCAACTAATTTTCCTGTGTCGAGCCCAAGGCACTGACTGACAGACCTTCCTGCTCGCCACCCTCTTCGTAATATTCTCCATCGTCATCATCAAGGTCTTCCGGAGGCGCATCGTAGGTTTCCTGCAAAACAGTACTTCAAATTCAGCTCCACACCGGCATCGCACGACGCTACACATGTTCCGCCCGAGCCGAGCGTCCTCCAGCGAAATCGGAGAAGCAAAACACAATTCAAGCCAGAATGTGCGAAATTCCTCTGACATCAGAGCAAAAGGATCCCCAATTCCGCGGAGGTCCAGAGCAAGGTCGAACGAACGAACCTTGGCTTTGCCCGACGATTTCTTCGCTTTCTTACTGGGCCGGGCACTCTCGCCGCCGCCACCTGAACCAAGCAAATTAAACCTCCGCGTCTGAGAGCAATTCAATCACCCACCACCAACGCAACGCAATTCATCCTTGCTCATGCACCTCTCTCAACCCCGAGCCTCCGGATCAAAGGCACGACCCTCCCGGAACACAAATCCTCGGCCCACCCCTAAACCCCCAAAACCCCAAGCCCCAGGCCCCAAACACAGCGCAAGCAACAATTACCCGCCGCCTTCATGACTCTCGCTCGCGCTCTCGTTCGCTTCTCCTGCTGCTGCTGCTGGAGGGCCTCGAGGAACAATCCGCTGCCTGTGCCTGAACGTTGAGACAGACTACTGTGTCCGGATCGAGGCCCGCTGCCTAATAGGCGTCGAAGGGCGCCCTCCTGCCACGGCACGGAACGGAACTGGGTCCGGTCCTTCGGGTCCTTCCGCTCTTCGGGACAGTATCCCGAAGTCCCCAGCAGAGACTCTCGGGGACGCCCCGCGCCCCGCCTCCTCTCCCGAGGACCGGGAGGTTGCTAAAGAAGTCGCGCCGGTGCTTCGGACCGGATTGATTTCTATTGTTGGGTTTCGCGAGTGCGAGTGACCTGCAAACGCAGGTCAGCGAGGCTTCTCCCCGACGCTACCCTTGTGACAATGCTGCCCCAAGTCAAACATTCATCCCCTGTGACATGCTTGGCAACCAAAGCCATAATTTCCATCATTTGGAACGATGTAACGTCTTGTGTACATGTAGCTGCACGCTCTCATCAATTCTGGTGTCTTCTTGTAGTAACATAACTACTACAATGAGATGATAGCACGATCTGTCTTCCGATGCATCGGTATTGCAACTTGTTTAAGTTATTATTAGGATAATTGCTCATTGTGAGATGTTATGAATCCATAGTTAGAACAATTATATGTAGCCAAGGTGCTGTTAATGGTTTTACATTTTACATATATAATGTAAAATGGCATGATATAATATACTAATGAATCGACTTTTTCGATCGGAATGAACCTGATGTGGTATGAGGATAAGGTTTAATATGATTTTACATATGTATTGATAGCTTATTTTATTTGTGTATCATATACATTGATGTTTACTTTATTCATGATTATTATGATTGGTTTATCATTTTACATAAAACTTAATGCGACAAATGTTGAGATTTTTTATACTGACTGTTTGAGTCTGTCTACTATATTGGCTGTATAAGCAATAGACTCGAACTTACAAAGTTGAAAACTTTGCAATCACTTCATACCCCATGTCCCATCGAACAACTATATCTAGTCGTCAAAGCAAGACCTCAAAGAGTCGAGTAAATAAATACTCGATAACGAAGAGATAATACATTCGTACATACTTGATTGGATAGCTGAATTTTCTCCTGTCTACTTCACGGAAATCTCTCTCGAATGGCTCTTTTATATTCGATATTTTTTTTTCCCCTGACTGTTTAATCGCACAAGATTAGATAAGGCGAGTGACAAGGTGGACTTGATCCAACTCCGCACTCGTGATGACATGGAGGAAAATCATGTTGCACCTTCCAATAAAGCTGATTTCTGTCCCTTGGTGACAAGGACATGATGGCATGCTTATCATACCGATCAGAGAAATTATAAACACTACAATATTCAAAAGCAATAACCTTATCTTCGAATATCTTGCCGCTTGTGACGCGATATCATTCCTCATTCTAAACACCATGCCATGCAAAATACAGTCCCTCAAGATTTCCTGGAAGTCTATGAATCTGAAGATTCGGGGCTCTGAGAAACTCCAGCACAACTGAATCTCCATGACTGGACACAGAAGCCACGTGGGACTCCGAACCTTCGTCCGAGAAGAATTTTGGTCGTCAGAGATTCCAAGGGTTGAGCTTTGGAGGCCTTTCTGCGACATCCTCAGCCGCTTCCAGATTCGACGAATGGAATGGAAGGCGACGGCAGCCGAACAATTCCTCGTCAGGTTGGCAGTCCACGAGAATATGCCCAAGTATTGCAGCACGCAGAGAAAATTGGGGGAAAGCCGGGCGAAGAATGTGAACGGGTTGACGTCAGCTGCGCAGTGGCGGTGGCAGTGTGGCGGAAAGATCGCAGATAAGGAGTGCGAGTCGAGCGACGACCAGATCCCTGGGCTCGAGATTCATCCGAGAGCGAGCAGATCCAAGCGCTACAGACTTGGATTTCGGAGGGGGCAACGAATTTGTGTGCAGTGAGTTAGAACGTGATGATTTTGTGGTTGAGCTGCTGAAATTGCTCGTCGCCTCCGCGTGCTGTCGGGCTCCGGCGCGACTGCAGCAGCTGCTGCTGCCGATGGGAGAGAGTTTGGCGGATGCACGAAACGTGGACTCGATCCGCCCGCACTCATCCTCCCCTCGAGGCGAGCCATGCCATGCCACGCCGAGCTCGAATGAGGAGGCCCTGGCGCCAACACAGATCTCCCGTCCCGCGCCTGCGCCTGCGCCTGCGAAGTACGACGCACTTGAGTACGGTAGAGCGCGAGTGAGCGCTCAGATGGAACCCTGGCGAAGAGAGCAAATTTTGTGCACCGGAGATCGGACTACTACCGCCACCACCACTGTCACCAGCTCTACTCTCACGACGACCGACGCTTTATGGTAATGTGAGCCAATTTCTTGCCGTCCGTGTGCAGGCGGTGGTGCTGTCGCAGGTGACTTGCGCCTGATGATGCCGTACCTTTCATGCACAAGCGAATTGTTTGGTTTGGGTCCGGAATGCAGAGGGGAGAAGAAGGTGAGCAGGGAGGTACAGGAATCCTGGGATCATGGGACAAGGAGTGAGGAAGGCTGGGAAGGAATGAAGGAATGAAGGAATGAAGGAATGAAGGGAAGGGAAGGGAAGGGATGGCGGTAAAGTTTGGGGTCATAATTTGCTCTTCGTGTGCTGTTGGGTCGAGTGGAGTCACTTGAGTGGGGTAACTGTGGTCGACGACGGTGACAATCATCATGACCTTACGTTCGGGGCCAATTCTTTGCCCCCCTGGGCTGTTCTTTCTTCTTTCATTCTTGGTTGGTTTCATTGGGGACTCGCTTCGGTGGAGAGTCGGTTGGTTGCTTAGGGTTCATCATTCCATTCAACTGCTGCTGCTGTTGTCGTTGGGTCGGTTCGGTCCGGTCCGGTCGGGTCTGATCCGGTCTGGCCCTCGTCCTGATGCAGCTCCTGCGGCCTCTCGGGGTTGTCGTCGTATTTTGGTTTTCCTTTTGTGCCAAGTCGTGTCAGGTTCAGGACTTCAGACACAGCCTGCGAGAATCGAATCGCCATGCGTTGAATAGCAGGAGGAGGATGTTGTACTCCCGGAAGGCCTGGATTTCTGGCTTTGTGTCTGGGCTTGCTCTCGAGTGGGTAGGCACGCCTGCTGGTGGTAAGTTCCGCTAGTTTGTGACTCGGAAAGGAGTTGAAAGTGAAGATCCGATGAGAGCGTGAGGTGGATCAGATTGGAACGATGACATGTCCTGTCACCCGCCACTTTCACGTGCTTTTTTGTGCAATGACGACCTTCTTCGGACTCCAACTCCGGGCTGTTGCTAATGTAGGTTCGCTCCAGATTCCGAGCGAAGAGCGTTCTAGGTCTGGGTTTCGTGCTTTTGCAATTTCCAGCAATGCTGGCCCAGTGGCGATGTTAGGAATAATGTCTGTCTGCAGAATTGTCTGCTGTGTGGTACCCGGTCATCACCAGTGCGTTTCCAGTTTGGATTGTGTCACAGATGGGCACATTCCATCGTTGAACTGTGATTTGTAGGGTACAGTGGCGCTCTTGATTAACCAAACTTTTGAGGAAGGATTGAAATTGCGATACTGTCATGCTTTTCTCGTCATTCTCGACTTGCTTAGTATCGGATATTCTGGCAGCAGTTACGATGCCCCGGTCTATGAATGTCCGTTGCACCGTTAATTACTTCTTAGCCGAAGTTGTTTTCAGATGAAGCGTGAGTTCATTCCGATTGTGAAGACTTGGGGAACAACTGCACTATTCATAGTCATATGTGATGGAAGTTGCTTTGTATGTGGAATCTGAAAACTAGCGAACAAGAAGAAAATGCATAAACGAAGGAATCAGAAAGTGTTTAGAAGTATATTCCATTTCCATGTCGGGCAAGAGAACTGCTCGTGTGTTTTACTGCTTTCTGAACAATCTCTCAAGAGCGTCACTGTCCACGGGTAATTGTCAACTCTTGAGTGCGTTGGTTGTTACATGATATAGATGTCTGTCCGAGCATATATTCATTACCTTAAACCCTTGGTATTTTAGGCGTGAAATGCATCCAGATCTTGTTTCAGGTTCTTTGAGCTTCTTATTTATTCTCCAGGATACTGGTCTGAGAAATTACTTCATGTTTCACTATTTCACGATGCGAAACTTGACTTCTTGTGACATCCAGTTGACGATGAATCTTTCTTTCGTTCTTGATTTTCTTGTAGGTTTTCTCCAGGTCCCATCGGAGCTTACAATCTTTTGGCGTGACGTTTTGTATGGAGTTAAACGTGCCTTAAGTTTTTGAAGGAGAGAAAACACTTTGTGAGAGTCCGACGGCACCATGCCAACGCGCTCCTCTGAGGTTAGAATCTTCACTCTTCTTCTGATGAGTACCGAGGCCCTTTTGTCCTGGTAGGGGCTTCAATCATTTACACAAGCATCGGAACACTGGGAACTGAGGAGAAAGGAGAAGCGCAGAGTATCAGAAATTTGTGGTTTGGTAGAGTTTTTATGTGTGGAGATAATCTACTTCATACTTTCAACCGCATGAATAATGTAGATGTGGGACGTTTGGTCAGACAGGGAACCTTTTATGTACGCCAGGTCAGAAATGTGGAGAAAGAGAAGTCATTTGATGGGCCAGATGTGAACGCGGTAAAATTCTACTATTCTGTTATAATTCAGAATCTATTGCAAGCCGTTGACGATGATATCAGAGCCCCTACCACAAAATTTTTGACAAGCAATACATTCTATTTGCTTACGGTTGTTCTAAGCTTTCGGAGACTCTCTTCCAAGCGTTGATGAGGAGAAGTTACAGTTCCCTAAGAGCAGTGAGGATATTTTGGTGGTAGATTGTGTGATCGTTCTCCTTTGCTTCTGGAGAAAGAATATGTCTACCAAGGAGCGTGGATTTGAGGGTTGTGAAGATGATAAGCTGGCGGAAGTCCAAGTAGGAGGACCGAAAGGCCATTTGCCTCGAACCAGAAGCAGCTTTGCATGACGCTGTTGTATGGTCACCTATAGGAGAATTTGACCTCAATACTTAGTGTTCATGGCTGGAAGCAAAGCGGTTTCTGATTCGTCACGTGTGTGCTGGTCATGCAGAAAATATCAGTTGAAACATGGACGATGAAAGTGCCTTCATAGACCTAGCAACTCCAGCTGAAGACCCAGTAGTGTCTGTGCCTTCTGCGCATTCTGGAGGGTCTACCATTCGGTCCAACGCTGCGTCTCCAACTGAATGTGTGGCCGGTGTGCACCATGGAGCAGCAACCAACAGCACTGCTCAATCAGCCATCACGAGGACAGGGACATCCCCTCTCGGGCCCATGCACCTGCCTCCAAACTCCCCATCCTTGCTTCCGCTGTCCCCTCACATTCCGTGTCTGTGCATGGCACCCCCCGTTCAGGCCATGACTAACTACGTTGCGATGCCTTTCCATGCATCTCACTCGATGCATGGAACCCACCAACCTCATATTCCCCCGGTTGTATTTCCATCCATGACCTCTCCAGCACTGCAGCAACGGCAGGAATCTCAATCTCTGGTGCAAGAAAGAGACTCGTCGACTTTCGAAAACCATCACTCTGGGCCAGCTTCTAGAACTCGTAAAAGGTCCAGGAATTGGGAAGCCTGGGAGATTTTACTCCTCATTCAAGCCAAGAAAGCTGAGTTCGAACGGTACTGGGGCCACCCAGGACGTGAGCGCTTGGAAAACAGCGCTCAAAAATACAAGAGGATCGTGGACTACATGCGACAGCACCGGGTTATGGACAGGGATGCTACCGCATGCAAAAACAAATGGGAGGCACTCTCAGGGGAATACAAGGTTATCAAAGAGTGGGACCGCAAGCCAGGCAATCCGACATATTCTTCTCTCAGTTTTCAAGAAAGGAAGCAAAACAATCTGCCGACTTCTTTCGAGACCGAGGCTCAGGAGCTCATGGACTCGTTCCAGGGCAGCAGACAGCACATGGTTCCTCCGTCTGTGGTGGATTCAACCATCAGACACTCCATGAGTGCTGGGGGCACGAGAGCAATCACAGTCGTGCCGCCTGGAGCAGATTCGACCGTCAGGCATTCTCCCAGTGCAGGTGACGGAGGCGAAGGCAGTACTGCCGAGGACGAGAGGGAGCAGGTGCCGCCGACCGAGGAGCCCGAGCATATAGAGATATGGGCCTCGGGGAAGAGGAAGAAGTCGTGCGGGAATGTGGTGGCTGCCTTCCAAGAATTGTCGCAAAGCATCATGCGGATTGAGAAAGAAAGAGCAGATAGGGCTAGAGAGGCGAACGAGATGGCCAAGGATGCACATTTACTGGAGATGCGGAAATTTGAGTTTCTGCAAATGAAAATGGACAGAGAAGACGAAAGAGCTGAGAAATTTGTAGGAGTTCTAGGAAGCATTGCCGGAGCCTTCCATAAGATGGCCGAGAAGATGTAGGTTTTGCTCTTGTAGTGAAAGGCATATGTTACAGTTGCTTGGTGCCCATTTTGCCGAGGAAGCACCAAACACCGAGAGTTCCGAGCCCGCAGTAGAGGTTTTCAACAATTTGTTCGAACATGTGACCACAGACCAGTCGTCCTGATGATGTAGAAACGGAAGAAAGAGCTTTTTGTAGGGCCCCAGGAGTTTTGTTTTCATTGTGGTTGTACAATTTCCCGAGAGAATTCCAATTTTTCAGAAAGCTATTGAGTTAGAATCAACATTAATCAGGTAAAGCTTAGAGCTCTCCTGAACCCACACTGACAGATGGTCCGACAGCCACTCGGGCAGTTTTGCCTGAGCACACGAAATGCTTTTGTTTTATGTACATGAAACTTCACAATTAAAAGGAAAGTTTAGCGGACGAACTGCTCTGAGGTTTCAATTATGTGGATTATGGGATGTTGCCATCGTTTTAAGAAGAATGACAAACCCAGTTCAGAGTTTCATACCATTAGTCTGCATTAAAAGACAGGCAAGTACTCCCTACCTGCATCAGACGTTTGGTCACTCGAAGAGTGGTCCAATCGGCAATTTCTGTCTCCATCATGTCTTGTCTGCTATGTGGACGAACAAATGTCGTGTGGGCACTTGCCCACTGCCCACTGTACGTCCAAGTTGCGAAATACAACTTTCAGTCGCTTTCCACTTGCTTATTCACTTAGCCTGCTCTTCATCAACTACTTTGCGTGGGATTATGGTTGCGACTGTCCACTCTTACCCTCACATTAGAGGACAGCCCTTCGCACACAGCGAGAGATCAACATTAGCAGATTTGACTTTCTACGCCAACCTGAGGACGAAAGAACCTGAAAAATCAGATTACTATGAAGTGGACTTCGGAATTTCAAGCACGTGTTTCCCACTCGCTAGAGTGTACAGCACCGAACAAGTGTTGCATGATTCTAAAAGAGCCAACTTCCGATGTCTCCAAGACAAACTTGCACACATTGATCTAGCTGTGCATCAAACATTCTCTTTTGCTTCCAGCTCCGAAGAATGAAAAAAAGCTATGTCATCTTGACGAGGACACCCCAGTGTGCCGACGAGAATTATCCATTGCTGGCTACGTTAGGCGGCCATGGGCGCAAAGGGTACAATGACCAGGAGACTTCCACGGACTCTACAATGTTAGCTCATTCTTACAAAATTTACACACCATGCGTCTGACAGGGATCAGAGTTTTGAGGTTTCGAAAAGAGCAACTCCTCAACCAGTGCTCATCCTACGCTGTGGCTCGTTGGTGTTTCCAATCCATATTTTAACAACACGTTGCGTCCAAAAGTTGAACTTTCTGGGAATCATGCCCTTTCTCTTGCCAGGCCGCAGTCGAGGTTCTTCACGTAACCAGGGTTTAGGGTTTTAGGGTTGTCAATGACGGGAAGGAAGAAGCTGCAGAGTGGGATCAGTTGATCCGGGGTTCATGGGAAAAGTGATCTGCTCGGACGTCAAGACGAAAGTGAATCGCACTGTGGAGTCAACGCAATGGCTCCCAGACATCGACAGCACTGAAGACAGATAGAGCAGATTTCCAGCGACAGTATTAATCTCTTCAGGGGTTTAAGCTTGATGGAATGCCGTGTGACTTCGTGGTGCAGTTGAATCACCCAGCGCAAATGATTGCACCTGTCCAGGGATTTCTCGCGAACAGAGAATGAATTTGGCCTGAGGCTGAAGCTATCGCGAACTTTGGCTGATCTCGAAGGAATAGCAGCGATGGAGAAGAGAAAGAAGGATGGCAAACGTAAAGAGCCAGCTTCTGAGAGCGCTCAGCCTGACGGGAAGAAAGCTTATTTGACCCGTCCATCTAAAAAGAAAGTGGTTGTTCCTTCAGACAAAGCGCGTAAGAAAGACGATGAGAAAAATGAGGACGCAGTGCAATGGAAATCAGCCTCGGAGCAGGCCGATTGGCTGACCAACGCATTCTTCACTGTTTGTGGAAACAAGCTCTCGAGTCTTGAACGCGAGCCAATTCCAGGTACTGCGCCTTCGATTAATCACTCTTAGGCAAAAAACCAAATGACGTCGAGCTAGATATTCAATTCAAATTAGCCTGTTTAGCACAGGTCGTGAGCGTCTGGGATTATATGGCCATTGTGCATGTTTTCGCCATAGCGACCTCATTTGTTTGTTCACATCGACCCATTGGCTTTTTCATATGAAGTAAATTCTTCCACAATCAGATTCTCAACCATCGACGTATGTGTGGATGTTCGTTCACAGAAAGAGGCGTGGTGCAAATTTCTGATGAGCGAGATCATAGTGTGGAGAATTTGGGCTTTCACGCGAAGAGAATGATTCCTCAATGGAAGGATTTGTTAATTAGACCGCGGGACACTGAAAAGGTACCAGGAAGGGAGCCTGGTAGTCCAACATTACTCGTTCTCTGTAGCTCGGCAATACGCGCCGTGGAGCTTCTCAGGTTTGTACCCTATCCTTGTCATGCGATTTTTCCTTGTTCATTATCAATTTTTCTTTGCCTTTCGGTGGAATGCAATTTTGAAATATTTTCGAGAAACTATCGGCTGTCATCGAATGGGGCAACAACTCTCGGGCAGGTTGGATCAATGTTTGGAATGAACGGACTTTCGTAGGGAGTGTTTGTGAGCAATGTTTGTTCTTCACCACGACGAAGTGTATAGATTCTATGAGATGAAACACGAGAGTGTTGGTTAGAGTTCAATGGGAAGGTGCTCTCCTGACTTAATTTGATTTTCAATTATAAATTCTTCGTGCAGGGGTTTAACAGTTTTCACCAAATCTTGTAAGCCAGTTAAGCTGTTTGCGAAGCACATCAAAGTAGATGAACAGGTAATTCCTGTCCACTTGCGACAAGTCTCTAGAATCAGTCTAGAAGAAATCAGTTTGGTGACATCACTTAAGTGTTGATCTTCAGTGGATTCTTTTCAACTCTAACTAACTGGTTCCTCTATGTCTGAGATCCTTTCAGTGTCTCTTATTGAACCATTGTGCTTTATTCTTTCAACCTTATTTTGCAACCTAAAGATTGGTCCATCATCTATGTCGATCATGTCACTTATTTTAATTCTATATTCTTATCTCACTGTAGTTATCTTCAGACTGAACAATGGAAAGTTACTAATATACTATGAGGAACTGCACACAGGTCGCTCTCTTAAAAGAACAAGTTTACATTGGTGCTGGCACGCCCAGCAGGTATTGTTGATCGTTTTCCTCCCGTTCCTTGTTCCGGATTACTTCATTCGATGTGGTCGAAGGCCTATTTGAATGGTCACTGTGACGTTATCATTGGAATTATGCAATGATTTTCTTGCAACAGAAAGCATCACCTGACAGATGGTCACCCTTCTCGTGGCTTGTTCGATAATTTAGGGTGAGAAAACTTGCCGATTTGGGTGCACTGGATTTTGGACAAACAACCATCATTCTCCTGGATATGCACCGGGACGCGAAAGGACTTTCTGTACTGAGTGTGCCAGAAGTCAAGTAAGAATGCCACATCCATCCTGTTTATCCCTTCATGTTTCATGGAGCAATATCTGCATGTTGAGGAGGTTTTCATTTTATTTGTTCCAAGGAAGGGTAGTGATTTTAGAAGTAAAGTTAATATTAAAATTCTAGAAACTTAGGTCCCATTTGATCATGGTTGAGGCTTACAATCAAGCAGTAGCTTTTTAGTAGCTGAAATTTATGTGACTTGTACCAAGTCCATTGAAGCTTATCATCTGTGATCCACAGGGATGAATTTTGGGAGCTCTACAGGACTCATTTGCATCAACGGGTGTTGAAGAATCAATTGAGACTTTGTCTCTATTGATGATTCTTTAATGAAGCCAGTATAAATGGTATTAGACCTCCATGGTTTACTGCACCCCTCAATTTTGTTACGTAGAAGCTAGAGTAGATCCAGCAATTTGAGATTCTCCTCCTTCGCGATATCCCTTGGAAAATAAGAAACCGATGGAACTCACGGTGTAGGCTGTGTTTTTTTCTTGGGCAAGTGGATTGTCCTCATATTTGCATCTGCGAAGCTTGTAGCCAGCAGCAGTACGAAAAGTTTTGCCAAGCTACGGTAGTTTTAATTTTGATGCATATGCATCATTGTAGGATTCAAAAGGAAATCTTCCGACTTTGGAGCATCTTCTGGTTGAGGTTTATCGATCATTGTAAATGAAACTTGATGAGAAGGATGCTCAAGTGTTAAGTATACGAACATAGTTAGACATACACTAATCCAAGCTCTTTGGATCAACTTTGCACTATCTGCGTGCCCAAATTGGATGATGAGTCTTAGAATCGAACATTGGATAGGTTGAGTTCAGCTTTGTGAGAATGCCCAGCGCAGTTCCATCTTCAATATGGGTCACTCGTTGAGGACTTTTCTACACTAGTTGTTGCAGTACATTCCGTTTGTGCGTGAAAATTTCCTGACTTGATGTCCAAACTCTTCATTGGAAGTTTGATAGTTCCATCAGTAACATCTCATATTTATCTCAATCTTTGTACGTGTAGTTCTAGAGCTGGGATCCTTATTGTCCTCGTGGGCATTGATCGCGAGTGTTGCCTTTGAATAGAGCATGGGGACATTTGACCTAACAGGAGAATCACTGGGCAAAACATGTTTGAACGGTGGGGCATCGTTGTCAAGTAGCAACCAGAAGAGCCCATGGATCCAGAAAGTCAGAAAGAGAACGTGAACGAAATTGTACAAAAGACCCATGTGTTACAAAAGTTTCCGTGTACATGAAGACTGGCCTCTCCTCTCCTTCGTGTGTCTACTACAACCTCTCGTGTTCCGCGCACTGGGCATCATCGGGCCAAGTTCCAAGGTTTCACAGATTTCCTGGAATGCACAGCTGGCCCTGCCTATCAACCAGTCAGTCGTTGGCATTGTCAGCTTGCTCCCATGTCTACACTGCTGAACTACAACTGTGCATCGTCTCAACACCGATGAGAGTAAGCATCGAACAGGAAGAACAGGAACACTCTTCTGCTGCAGACTGTGCAAACCTTATCTCCCCTTTTCTGCCCGACATTTTCTCACGACCCCACGGTCTTGTTCAAGCAGAATTGCAATTCACAGTACAAGGCAACCCTCCACAAATCACACCACAACGCTGAGTCAGAAAATACCTCTCGGGCAGACTATTTCCCTGGAGACTGCCAGACATGGGCTCGGCAAGACAAAGGCCAATGGACGTTCATGTTTGAGTCTGACTCCAGCCGCCAGCGAGGGAGAGCTCTAGATGTGGAGAAAGCGACAAAAGCTATCGTTGTCATGGATTAATAGCCCTCGAGAGCGAGCGAACGAGCTGACGAGTGTTGCGACACCGCGGAATACCCTCGCTCCATTGGCAGTTCTCACAGGCTCGAACCAAGTGTACTGGCTCGGGAGTGACCACGAGGCTGCCACCATTAAGGGCCGAAAACCATCGTTACTCTCACCAAGTCAGCAGCAACAGTCTTGTCACAGGAGTGGCCATTCGACCTCGTGAGAAAGACTGCTCTTGTATCCGCATGCATTGAGGCGCAGCACGGGAGACAATTGGCAGTCTGGGGAGAAAATTGGGTGAGGACTATTTTGAGGAGTTTAAATTGTCAAGGTCAGTTCAGAGTCGGATGGCTTGAGGATTTTCTGTGTGGTGGAGAATTAAAGTTATCCAAAGCCACAAACTGGGCCGTGCGTGGGCGAAATCGGTCCGGTCTAGACGTTTCTTTCGTGCTGTTGGAGGATTTGGGCCAGGTTGAGCAAAAGTGAACGAGCTGAATTGTGCTCTGACTGTGAGCCTTGGTCTATCAGATTGCTCTGAAAGCTCTTCAAAGCCATGGCTGTTTCCGGTGCTGCTTGCTTGGCAAACTCTGCTCTCAGCTCTCCGCAGGTAACTGCAGTCTTCCGTTACTGATCGATAACCTTTCGAGTCTTAGCACTAGCTACTCCATTTGAACCGTAGTGCAAACACCAGAGGAACATTATGTCAAGTTTACAGCAAACTACGTAGAGTCTAATGTCGGAGGCAATGTCGCTTTGAAGTCGTGATAGAGATTTCGCAACGACTGATTGCTAGTTAGATTACTACACTTTGTAGTGCGGACAAAGCAGGCGCATTGAGTGTGATCGTTATTTGTGATTTCTTACTTCGGTGTGACACTTGGCACTCTACTTATCAGTTTCTTTGTCAGTGTTGAGAAGATTTGGTCATCGATAGTAAGTGACACCTGATACTTGTGAATCTGTTGTCTCCATCTTGTTGCTATCTCAAATTATCTGATCTGAATGCGAGTGCGAGCGACGATGATGGCGGGTATTACGATTTGTCTTATGTCACGGAATTGGATTTTCGTATAGTCGTTCTGAGAAATTTTTCGATTGTTATTTATCTGTACCCACAATTTTTGGCAGATACCTGTTAAGATTTCTTCGGGAAGCCTTGGAGTATACGGACGATCTTCTGATTTTCTTCAATTTGCCGAAAATTCACTGTCTTCAAGCACAAGTCTTGGACAGCCCCGCAGGAAGCTTAGAGTTGTCCGACAAGGCTACGGACAACAGCACGTAGTACTTGCAGCAGGCAGCGATTCTGATAAGAAACCCTGGGATTTGGGAAGATTTATCCGCACTTACACGTTCTACAACGAACCATTTAATCTATCTAAGGTAGGGAGTCTTTATCTGTCCTCTTTTATGTTCATCTGACTTTCCACTAATTGGCTCTCCTCTACCGAACTTGGGCGGGCTGCAATTGCTTCTTTGAATTGAGCTGATAAGCAGTTTATATATAATCGTCTTTTAGGTGTTTGAGTTTGTCTCTGCGAGGTTGTCGGGATCGTCAGAAGAGAAACCATCATCAGGCATGGAGAAGGAAGTAGTACTCGTTACCGGGGCAACTGGAGGCACTGGTAAGAGGGTGCTCACCCTTCTGCAATCGAAAGGAATTCCTGTACGCGCTCTGGTGAGTTCAGCATCCCCTGTAGAGATCTCTATATTCTCACACTTCGCTCTGGAGTATCATGAATCTGGTTGTATCATGAATTACTATAGATGTGCCTATGTTTGTAAAGCCAAACTTTCGTCAAATTATCCAAGGGAGGTGAATATTTTTTGTTCGTGCATAGGTGAGAAACGTGGAGAAAGCAAGGTCTCTACTCGGTCCAGATGTTGAGCTGGTAAGACTTCGCTTATACTCTCCCCAAGGAACGTCCCTTCATTCCATGTGCTTGTCCAAGGGTTCATCGTTCAGTTTTGAGAAGACTGAGCTTGGCAATTGCAGGTTGTAGCGGATGTGACTCAAAAGTCCACATTACTTCCAGAGTATTTCAAGGGTGTTCGTCAAGTCATCAACTGCGTGTCAGTAATTGTTGGCCCCAAGGAAGGCGACAATTCTGAGAGGCAAAAATATATGCAGGTAATAAACCCTCATCCAAAGACTCACGTGTCTTGCATCCCAACTTGTTCAGTTTAGAATGCATGTGTAGATAAATTGTGTCAGATTCCTGATGGAGGACTATGCAACCACCGAATGTGCTGGGAGGACTTACTAGAATACTTCTGTGGAATGTTCAATGCCTCTTCAGCACCAGAGACGAACGGTTTTGTGCTGTAAGAGTTTTTTAAGAAATTTTACTCTTTTGGAACATCTTCGCTACAATTGCTTCCGTGCTCAAACGCACATGTCGGAATCAAACCTAACCCGTGGACCTCTATGAACTGCAGGGAATCAAGTTCTTCGATCCAGAAGTAAGCACCTACTTTTTTAATTTCAAAGTTGATCCCAAAATTAACCCTCTAGACCTGATATATTTGTCGTTCTTGGAGGGTGTTGTTGACCTCAAGCTATGAACATAGTATAGAAAGCATCGGGATCTTAATCCCTGGACATCGCATAAGATTGTCTCGTAATGGCAAAGACGCCTTGCTAGGAGCCTTGTCAGTTGCATGTGTGTTCAGTTTTGTTGCTTGGTTAGAAAAACTACTCTAATACAAGTAATGATGTAGAGATTTTACAGCCGTACATAAGCATTTTGTCTAAGTGGTGTAGCTTTCTAAAGCCTAGTAGGCTTTGCAGCACAGTTCTTGATTTGTCCGTCCTTCATGGATGACATGTGTAGATCAAAGGCGATTCACCTGAGACTGTTGAGTTCAAAGGACTTCAGAATCTTATTGAAGCTGTGAAGGAGAATGTTGGAGTTCGAGACGGAGTCTCTCTCTATACTGTCACTGGTATTCTGCTCTACGAAAAATTTTGGCCACAATTGTCCTTTCATTGAACCTGTAGTTATATGATTGATCTTTTTGACCCATAACGCACAACCGTCTTATGTATCTTTTGACTGGAAGTGACCTTGTCGAGAAGGTGCAGGCATGAACATTTCGCACTGCTCCTCCTTTTCAACCATAATCTGAGTTTCACATGCCACGATGTGATTTTTGTTTCGCAGAGAAGGGTCCCGCTGGCCCAGCGTGGGGATCCTTGGATGATGTTGTCATGGGTGGTGTTAGTGAAAGCTCTATGCAGCTTAGCTTAAATGGTGGTGAAAATGGTGGTCCTGTTGGACTTTTCAAAGGTAATGGATGCGTAGATCTTATTTTACTTGTTTGTAGTTTTACGATCTTCGTATCCATAATGGGTTCCCCAAGTTTCATGTGTAATGATATTCGAAAGTATGCTGATCATTTGTTATGCTTGTGATTCTCAGGTGTCGTTTCTACATCAAATAATGGAGGATTTGCCAGCATCAGAACTAGAGTAAGTGCCCTGTCTAATACAAAAATTGCAACATTTACATTGGCTTTGTCATAGTCATGTTTTCAATGTGGATCTGGGCATTCCATGGGTGCATAGGGACTGCCTTTGCAGTTAGAATCCTTGATCTCCTCTCTATTGAAAATGTTTTACATTTGCGCATCTACAACAACAAAGTGGTCATCACATGTGATATGTGATCACACTGAGTTTCTCAAACCGGTATATGCAATGTTAATGGCAGAATTTCTCTGAAGTACAAGATTTATCTGCCTATGAAGGCATAGAGATGCGGATTAAAGGCAACGGCCGTCGGTTCAAGCTAATTATTCGACTCTCAGCTGACTGGGATGCTATTGGTTACACACTGTCTTTCGACACTGCTTACAATGAATGGCAAACAGTAAGTTTTTCTGACTAAAGTACAGAAAAAGCGAGCATGTGCTTCACATCTATTTCATTTATCCATTAGGCTTATAACAGCATTTCTAATCTTTACTATATTTTATGCAGATCCGCCTACCTTTCAAAGACTTCATTCCAGTTTTTCGAGCTAAGTCTGTTAAGGATGCCCCTCCATTTGACCGGTCACAAATCACTTCGCTGCAGGTAAACTTAGTCGATTTGTAACTGTCTTTGGATGATTACAAACCTGGTGCTCTGAAGGAAATGGGATATGTTGAATGATGGAGTGTTCTTACTGATATGATGTGCATAATTTTTTCGTATTGTGTTTGTGTAGCTTCTATACAGCAAGTTTGAGTATGATGGAGCGCTGAATCCTTCATTTGAGACAGGACCATTCGAGCTACCAATTGCTAGTATCAAGTCATACATGAAAGAACCCATCAAACCAAGGTGCCATGATTTTCAACTCATGCTGGATATTTTCTTTCAGGATGGTCGAGCCAATGTGTAACTAGATTATGTTTTCAAGCTGGTAGAACATTCAAATCAAGTGTTGATCGAAGCGTCCTTCGACTTTTCTGCTATGTACAGGTTTGTGCATGTGGGCTCGGCAGGTGTGACCAGACCAGACAGACCTGGCTTAGACCTGAGCAAACAACCTCCAGCCGTGCGCTTGAACAAGGAATTGGACTATATTCTCACGTACAAACTGAAGGTATGGCATCTCCAAATTATTGTTTTCGGCATTCTGAGTAGTTCATCTGCTAAGGTAGTTGGTAATTCGCTTATTTTTGGTGCTATATTTTTTGTTCTAAGCAGTTTCGAAATGTATTTACCATCTGAAGTTCGAAGTGCGCTTTTGCATTTCGGATGGAATTGACTGACATTCACATTGGTGATATACGCAATTTATTGTACATCCGTGTTAGTATTGAACTTCGGCGGTATTCTGGATTGGCCTTGAACACAGGGTGAGGATGCGATAAGAGATTCCGGTATCCCTTATGCAATCATACGTCCATGCGCTCTCACAGAAGAACCCGCTGGTGCTGAGTTGATCTTCGAACAGGGCGACAATATCACGGTAAGAAATCCGGTTTCACATTCTACTATTTCAAAGGAGGAATTCAGCTTCAGGGAGGTTTAGAGCTCAATGTTTCTAAGATCTTCACGTAGAGCTCTTTAAGTCTTCATCAGATGGTACATGTGTTGCATATGTCCTGTGCCCTGACTCTTGCTTATAATACAAACTGGGACATTGAAATTACAGATAGCTCTGTGATTACTTACACTCCATATGCAATTACAGGGTAAAGTTGGAAGAGAAGAAATAGCTCGAATCTGCATTGCAGCACTGGACTCCCCAGCCGCCACAGATACTACTTTTGAGGTGTGAAAAATCTTCGCTTGCACATTTTCCAATATCTCTCGGCTAGTCTTTAGAGCAGAGACTTATGTCATGAACCAGTTTTATGTCATTAAGCAGCAGAGGCTTTGCTCAAAAAACTAATCCACAGTTTCTGAATCGTGGTTTGGTTTTTCTAAAAGAAATAGTATGACGTGGAAGAGACTCAATGCAATCTTCAGAAGAAATTTGTGGACATTGCGTCGTGATGCTAATTTTGAAAATTCTCGAAACTGATTGTAGTCGTGTTTGGGCCTTTGTTTTGCAGGTCAAGAGCACAGTTCCTTTCAGCCAGCCGTTCGAAATTGATCCCAGCAACCCCCCGCCAGAGCGAGATTACGCGGAGTTTTTCGCGACACTTAAACCGGGGATCACTGGAAAGGAAGCTCTGGAACAGCAGGAACCAATACCTGTTTAACGGCATACAGAGCAACCTCATGGTACTCAGAAGTAACGACTGCTGTATGTTGTGAAATATGGGTACTTTGCCCGACGTGAGCCATACTCACTTTCACAAGTTCAAATTTCTCCTTCATAAGTTGTGTATACTTCTCTGCGTGCTGTATCCATTCAAGATCTTCGAGGGAAGCTGTAATATTTAGTAGGTGATGTGAGTGAACTGCTGTACAGATCCATATCCAGTGAAGAGGCATCTGTATACTTGGAGGATAAATTTTTATAGTAACGGTAGTGTGAAGTACTCTTCCTGCTGGGTGTACATTTTGAACTTATAATTAAGAAAATTACTGTAACCTTGGAGGCAAGTTTTTCGTGACGGTCCTGTACAAGGATGAGTAAAAGCCTTCTGAGACTTCTCTCGAAAACTGTGTATGACGATTGATTGTACATCCAACTTGTGCCTGTTCTGGCTTTCTTCTCGAGTATTGGTTTGTTAGACTTCAGTGGACACGAAGTAGACTTTGAGGTCGACTGAATGCAGCGTCATTCATGTGCAAGGGAGCTTTCGAACAATGTTCAGGATGAGCTGGTAATCACCTTCTGAGTTCAAGGAGTTGTCATGCTCTTTCAGAATCACGCGGATCGTGTCAATCGTGCAATGCGAACATGAACTGACTTTGGTACGATCAATTTCTCAACCCGAAATTATTCTACTGCACATCGAGGGGAAAGTTGATCGTGGCTGATAACACGGACAACTGAACGCGGTGATCTCAAATCCGATGATCTGTTGCTCTTAGCTCTCTGAGAAATTTTGAGATGAACATGTCCTCACGTTACTTAGTGGTTAGGATTGGAAGAGAATCGTAGTACGATGGTCGTTTATCGAAAAATTAAATAAACTTCTACGAAGGAGAGAAGATGCCACTTCAAAAGCAGTGCACTTATATTCGTGCCACGACACCCTGTACCGACTGTTCCAGATCCTGCGCATTCTCCTACATACACTTTACATTTAGATGAAGTGCAATCGCAGTAGGCTACATGATTTTGTCTATCACACTGCCAAATGTTCGTGGATAAAAGGATGATTTTGGCAGCGAAAGCCTGTCGTCATCTAAGTTCTTTGCTTACAGATAACAATGTAGAAGCTTCGATAGCCTAAAAGCGACTTATGTAGCCTGGTATAATGAATGAAGGTGGAATTTGCACGGCTCTGCTTTTGACTTTTGAACAGTCAAGCCATAGCCCTAGATACCCTTCAGAAAGTATTTGGCACATCGTATCTGTAAAATGGTAACTTGGGCAGCTGGTGCAGTGGGTTTATTGCTGTGATATAAAAGGGCTGTACCTTCATACTGCGGAATGAATCTGTAAATCATTCTGCTCTGCAAAACTTATGAGAAGTAGCTGTAGAGAACGGTTCCTTTGTAGAATCTACGATATCAAGACATACGTTGAAGTTTGACTTAATGGGAGCAACCTATAATGGCTACGGTTGCATGATACTGTTGATCATTTTTGCTGCTTGAACATAAAACGCTCGACTCACTATACTGCAACTTGTCACACGCTGCAGTTGTTGGAAAACTTTCCTCCTTTGAGCTCATGAACTGGCACATCGTCGCACCAGCTGCTTGCTTGGTTGTGTAGGCGGGAAATCACGGCCTTTCAGAGGTTGTAGCATGTCCGAAGACATCAGGTTGGAAACGAAGGCAATACATCGAGCTTTCCAGTGTATCCACTACGAGTTCCAACCACAGTCCCATGACTGGAACTGTGTGGTGGCGAACTGGAGCGAACCACGTATCAACGTTGTCTGTCTGCTTGCCATTTGAATCATTATCAACCGATGTCGTCAGGGTCGTGCTGGATGCAAAATCCAAAACAATGTCTGTCTTCTCCAATGGATCTCCCGATGTACTCTATCTATTGTTCTCTTTCCAGCGATATAACCATGAATCACCTTCCCACCAAACCTATGTTTATTGAAACCTATAAGTAAATAGTCACAGAATGTATGATTTGAGCTCTTTCCTCAGCTTGAGGAACACAGAACTACATTTTTATCTCCATAAACTTATGGATCACATGGCAGAATAGCTCATTTGAAAGAGGGTGGTTCTTACTAACACATGCATTGTAACTTTATTGTTCTGTACTTCAGAGTATTCCCATACCTTTTGCTCAATATTGTGTACGCAAAGTTTATTATTTGCATGTCTTTGATTAACTCCTGCCGAATTAAACCCTTACACTTACTTCTATCTACTTGTTCACCAAGAGCTGTGAAATCTTTGTCTGATGTGTCTCGGGGACTTTATCTAGCATTTATCTTTCCTTGTCCTGTTATGGGCATATAGTTCAGATTATTTGTCTTGCGAGTGAAGCTGGTCAAGAAATATGGAAACTCACACGTGTAGTACAATAGACTAACTTGTAACCATTCATAGTTTATGGCATATGAATGCATACTGGTGATAAAACGCATCATAAATGCAGGGGAACTTATATATCCTACTGAAACAGTGTATTGTAAATAAGACTACTGGATTATCGTATACACTCTGGATGAAACTGGAAACAGCAACTGCTTTACTCTCTGGCGCTTGGTTCAAGATGTCTCGCGTAATTACTATCTGCTGTGCTGTTCACACATCTGAGCATCGATACATGCAGAGTCTTCGTTGGTACCACCTTTTCTACGGCAGCTGTATTCATCAACAGAAGTGAAGCCGCCGTGAAGCTATCATACACGTATAATGACAGTTCCATAGACCCAGACGCTTTAGCATCCACCACTACTCATCGACCAACTCAACACGTCAGGAAGAAAGCAACAACATTCTCGTAGGTGTACAGTGGAGCGGAACGCATCACTGGAAATCTCGAAGAGAATCTCCAGTTGTGAGAAGTTTCAGTATAAGGAAGGGAAAAATTCATGACCTCATGAACGTCGGACTATATATCATCATCATCACTGAAGGTAGAGTGATCACAGGCCGGTCACTGATGATATATAAACAGACAGATACACAGGACCAACTCAAACCCAAGCATTAGCAGCAGCTGAGGACTGATCGGCCACAAGTCCTACTCTCTCTCTCTCTCTACCTTTTCCACAAAACACCACAAACAAACACGAAGCTTTTGAAACGAACAAACTCATAACTCCAGATTCAGTTACCACATAAATGCCCCCTTAAATCCCACAGTAAACACTATGACAGTACCCTTCAAAAAATCGAGTTTTATTCTGCCCGTCTTCAGCTGAATCAGCTCCTCCCCAAATCCATGCGCACAATATAGCACACTCTGGACGACGTACTTATGATGACCCGGACATTCACTCACTCTGCATCGACCCCCTGCACATGAATGGATGGGTCATCTATCCATCCATCAACTGCAGACGGTGCACTCATTACTCCGACGCCTCGAGCCAAAGAATACGAACGAGCTCAAGGAGATGAGTCTCAGGTTCGCATCACCTGATCGCCTGTGCGACCACGCTTTACCTTCCCGTCGTCTGTGAGAGTGCGAGTCGGTTCATGGATTCAGCTGATGGGATCTGATCCGAGCTGTCGGTAACTGGTCGAAATCTTGTCGATTATGAGTTGCCCTTGCCATCTCGTGTCTCTCGCAGGGCCGGGGGCTCGCTCGGATTTATAGCTGCCATTAAGGCGTTGCGTCTGTTCATGCTCTGCATACGTACGCCAGTCGCTTCGCTCGTAGCTCGACGATACCGCGTATTTCATTCAAAGGCGGCCATTCCTGTTATTATTATTCGCCCGGCCTCGCGGACGCCAAGGAAAACATGTGAAATCAGAGGTTACAGCCCCTGAGCTTTGTCAGTGTTGGGTGGCGGAGTGGAGTGGCCAGACCCTGTTCGCCGCTTCATTTTATTTTATTTATTTTGTTGCTCTGCATTTCTTTTGTCCTCGTTTCTCTGTCTTCCCTCGGAGTGTGGCTCCACGTTACTTGAATTGTTTCTCCTTTGATGTCCATGCGGGAAGTCCTCGTCACCAGACAAGCCGCGACTTGGAATAAAGAGAGTGATGGCCGAACATCACACTAAATCCTATATCATTTACACTTTGTGGCAAATGTGTATATCATACGGAAGAGTTTTCTTACGTCGATCTAAAGAATGGAATACCCATCAACCATCCTCTAGAAGGCAGAAACGAGAATGAATTCATTGCATAGAATGTAGATGTCATTACACAGCTAATAAGGATTTCAGGTGTAGGTATTTGACGCTATTTGGATTGTACAATATTTTTTATCTACAGAAGTACTCATTTTAAATCGTAATGTTCTTACTACCTTCCTAGCTACTATCAAGTCATACAAGATAGTGAGTTTCTGGACTTTTCGTTAATCTCGTGCATAGAAATGGTATTTGACATGTTGCACATCTGAATATTTCTTTGATGATTTCATCAACTCATTCACATTATATTTTTGCATCTTGTACATTACAGAATCTAGAGAAGATTATTCTAGTCCATGCACTATACAACTACATTTTCTAAAATCAAAAGTATCAAGAAAATACTAAAATATAAATGGAAAGAACAAGAATCATTTTTGTCAAACTATTACGGACTCAACTCTCATACTAAACAAAGATCAGACTTGAGTGTATAACTCAAACCAAAAAAGTCAACAAGGTTGAGTAGATCTAGAAGTCCATAAATTATTATTCATAAAATATAACATTAAGGTTTCGATGAAATATCTTGAATATTTATGTTCTACCTTATATAGATATATTAAATTCATATACAAAGAAAATGTATTTTTTACATTATCTAAACAACTCGTAGTGGATTGTACATGGCGGATATATTTAATGAGCGAACAGACTGTTTACATATCGTTTTCAACTAACACAGCGAATAATACACTCAGTAAGATAACAAGCACATATATTGATGACATGTTATTATCAACTAATACAATAACTAACACATTGATTGCTAACGTGGTACAATAAAAATTTCACTTTCATGTACTCTATTCAATCTTGACTACTCTCTACTTAAGTTTCAACTGATTGAAGATTGTTACATGAAAGCAAGAGGAAGATTTAACTTTTGTTGACAAGATTGAGCAAAAATATTTTGATACTATTTATATATACTTAAATCAAGTCCAAATCACCGTCTTTCTAACATAAATTTCAAATTTGGTTGTATGTATCATTAAGATTCCGATAGATTCGAGTCGAGTTTGACCTTCAATCTAAAATCAATCCCTAAACCGGATAGAATTTGGATCAATTTAGCTAAAATCCAAAAACGTGAACCATGGACAAAAACAAATTGTATTTGAGCTCGTATCAGCTACCTAGTATGATTTATCAATTCATATGATCCGAATTGATTTCCTTGGAAATGCACCAAACTGAATCTTTTCACTGAAGTTTTGATTGAGTGGTGTTGGAGAGTAGCTCCAATAGATATATTATAGATTTTCGGCTCAAAGAAATGTCTACTTGTACTTGTCTACTACTTGAAAGTATTTCGTTTTCTTTCATTGTTGAGCCATGCTTGCGATGCTTATAACAACAACGAGCGCTTTGAAGGAGTTTTCATTGTTGACAACAATTGAGTATGGCACACTCTCACTTTCTTATGTATTTCGAAAACAAACTAGAGTATAACAACAATGGACAAATTCAATGAAACAATTCAATAGTTTGGGAAATTCTATTTGGAAGAACAAAGCTTGCTAAACTTTGCTTACAAAGGTCTTGTCAACCTTGGCATACAATAACTTCCCTAGAGCACAAGAAAAAAAGAAGAAAGTTAAACATGTGCATCTAGTTATGAATCAAAACTTATTAACAAGAGTGAGATACATCAAAAATTATTAACGAAAGAACTTTACATCATTTTGATTGAAGGTAGTAGCTTATCAAGTTCATTTATGACTTTATCAATGTTCGTTTGTTAATTTCTACTGAGCAATTATACTTAAGTCTTATGACATAAATATTAAACTTTTAACAAATCTTGTTAGTTAGCAAGTACCTCTTAATGATGTAGCAGGAATAAAGAATCTATACACTTATGATAATCATATAAAGAACAAACATAATGTGCACTCAAAAGAGTTATAAAATGTTTGATACATAAGCATCTTTCCATGTTTTTTGAAAATAAGCTTGAAAACTAAATGAGAAGTTCCCGCTTGAGCCCTTCGATATGAAAACTTCTCTTAGAAAAGTACAGTCAACAAGAAATTGTTAGCTTCGATCAAAAACGTTGATAGCTAAGTAGACAAGAAAAAAAAAGTCCATGACTTATCCGCACATAAGAAGTGGCTGATACTTCAATGATTTTGAACTAAATCATATTTTTGTTTGTATCAACAGACCATACTGTACTCATCAATCCATACAAGAGAATAATCAAACTTATGAATAACAAACATAACTTGCACTCAAAAGAATTATAAAAAATTCAGTACATAAGCATCTTCTCACGTTCTTTGAAAACAAGCTTGAGAATTAAACGGAAAGTTTTCCGCTTGGACCTTTCAACACGGGTACTTTACTCGGAGAACTACGGTCAACAGAAAATTGTTGGCTTCAAACAAAACGTAGACAGTTAAGAAGACAGTAAAAAGAAGACTGTGATTTATCCTCACATAAAAAGTGGCAAGTCCTTCAATGAATTTGAACTAAACTAGAACCCTATTTGTATGAATAGACCATACTATACCAATCAATCCATACAAGAGAATAAGCAAAAGTATATGAACTGTAAAAAAATTGAAATAATTTTGAAATCATGACATGCCAATAGCCACATAACACTATCATCACATATCAATATCACGAGGTCGATGGTCTCACGTGCTCCATGATAATGATCAAGTTTGACTCGCATCTCAAACAAACAAATCATTCCACTTTTTTTGATCGTCACGGCTAAACTACCAATGATATGGTCAAGGAAAAAAGGACGTCATTTTTTTAAAATGGCTACAAATCTTGAACTCAAATCCAGATTTCTGATCAATGATGAGCTGAGTTTAAGTATAAAAACATCCATCATTTAAATAGATAACTTAGAAAATTTGTTGCAAAAAATCAAAGGGTTGATAAGTGTTTACATTCATCAAAATTACCTTCACCAAGTTTTCAATGATAAATCGATCGTAAACAGCAACAAGGCACACAATACACACATTGAAGTCGGCATTGATTTCCTTGGTACGGAACTGGCACTCGCTTCATAAGCAGCAGAGTCCCTGATCGTGATGGCTTAAGGAAAAAAATTGCCGACTCCTTGCACCCCAATTGCACAAAACAACCTTTCCATCCAACCTGACTAATCGCACGCAATGCATGCTTGCAAGGACTCACTCTTGAGCCAAAGCAGCATCAGCTTCAATAGAAGCAACAAGACCGCCGGCCTGTCTATTTTTTAGAACCATCACTCGCTTTTACTCCCTCTTCTTCCCTCCCCTCATTCTTATATTTTCATCAAATATTAGGTTTTGGATCGAGTACAACACTCTATCCAAATTCATATTCAACCTGATACGAATTAGGTTTTTGGATATTATCCGAGTCCAATTGGAGCCCTATATATCACATCATCCCATCAAGCAAAAAGTTCCATGAGTTCTTTCTACTTATCATATAAAAACAAGAAACTAAAAATCTATTACAAATAATTCATGTAATAATAACATGTTTAAAGCTTGATTTAGCGTTGATATTCTTTGAAACGTGTTGGATTTAAATATCTTTAAAATTATATTTGTTAAATATTGACAATAAATGTTTTTTATCATTTTAGAAGCGTTATTAAAATTAACAACAAGCAATCAAATTTGCTTGCTTACTTGTCAAACTGCCAATGTACAAAATATTCTAAATTTTTCTATTGAAGTGAAAATTGAATATATCAAAAATTTCAAATTCTTCTTCCTTGTTAATCTCAATAGATGGCCGGGTGCTAACAATTTTACATAAATCATCATATCTCAATACTATTCAAGCAAACATTCATATATTGTTTTATGAAAAAACTAGATGAATTTTTATAGATGATGTCACTTCCAACCTATTTTCTATCTTCTTTAGTTTTTTATTCATTAAAGAAGTTCTAAGATGACAATAGTCAAGTTTGTCACCGGATAGGAGAGTTTTCAAATTGCAACGTAGAATCAATACCATATCTAAAACTTAAATGTTTGAATTTTTCTTTTGAAATTTGTTTGCTTGTCTATTTTTCCATTTTTTAGTTTCTACAAGTTTTAACTTCATGTCTTTGTGGATTTTCAAAAGTCTATAGACAAAATTTTGCGCAACCAGATTTTTTGCCCAATTCAATTTCAAAGAGTCAAATCGTTGATGATAGCCATAGTTTGTAAAAATTGAAGTTTGATTAATGGAATATTGAATTATGTTGTTGAAATTAAATTCTGCAACTTGATATGGATGCATACAATTTGTTTTATGATAGTTGATGGAGCATCAAAAATGCTGCTCTAACATTTGATTCATTTGTTTGAATTGTCCATCTTTTTTGAAGATGAAAGTCTATGAAAAATTCATCTTCATTTATAAGATTTTGAACAGGGTATCGTCAGAACTTGGATGTGAATTTTGAATCTCAATCAAAGATAATGTTGTTAGGAAGTCTATGATGTTTGTACACATTTTCAAAGAAAAGTTATGTCAATTTTTCACCTATGATATTCTTGTTGCAAGCTGCAAAGTGTGTCAACTTTGTCAAGCGATACACTGCAACAAGAATTGAATCAGATTAATTTGGAATTTTGGAGATCCACAATAATATCCATGTATATGTAAGATCATGGCTTTTTTGAAACTTGAAGTAGATATAAAAATCCATATGAAGTATGTTCAGAAATTTTTGATGTTTTTCACACAAATTTTCATACCAACAAAAGTCGTGTCAATATGGCAACATACTAAGTTGTCTAAGAAATCTCTTGTAATACTTTATAGTAAAACAACTCATGCTTGAACTAAATTATTGGATATCATGTTGAAGCATTTCATGTCCATGTGATCTACGAATATATGAATAGTGAGTAGCTTGATTCAACAAGATTAATCTAAATTTCAAATAAATCTATAAGATTGGATCAATTTTTTTTAATTTCTGTTGTAGTTTTATGAAATTAAAATTAAGTATTTTTAAATTAGGTTTTTTTTCAATAGATAAAAAATTTAAAAATTTTAATATTATATAGAATAACAAAAAAGTTTAATAAATTATTTACTATAATATTATCACAAAATTTTCCAATATATTTTTTTCTCAAAATCACATTTTAACACAAGTTGTAACTCAGATTATGATCAATTGAATCTTAAATGTGACAAAATATATAATTTCCATACACCAAATATATATTCGCATTTGAAATATTATGAAGAAAAAAAATTTTAATTTTTTTTCAAGTTTTTTTAGTGCAAAATATTGATTTATCAATTATAAATTGTTTAATACAAATCAAACAATTGTGAATAATTGCTCTGTGTCTAAGAAAAATTATTTTTTACACTATTTGTTTACATGAAAAAAAGAATGGATGCATGAAATTTTGTATTGCATGTATGTGTTTTATGTCTAAATGTTTAGAACTTTTGTATATAACAAAGCAGTAATTTTTAAACTTTGACAAAAAAACTTCAAATATGAATTGAAAATTTTTATTATTTTTCTTTAAATATAGTTATATTTACGTTAAGAAGGAAATTGTATTTATTTTAAATATCCTTATTATAACATTATATAAATACAATCTAAACAGATTAACTGTTTTTTGAGATATTTGTATTGAGTATGAATTATATAAATCAAGAGAATTTCAGTAGTTTATATTTTTTCATAATCAGTTCACGTGGCATATGAAAAATAATGAAAATATCTTGATATTTGATAATTTAAACCATAATATATTACTGGTTAGATATTTAAACATAAAAAAAAAAGATAAAGGTTTGATAATCAAACTCATCAATTTAACGATCATTATACACAGTGCTAGATTATTATATTTATGACAAATATACATATTTCATTTTTTTGAATTAAGATTTGTACACCTGACATATTAGAAAATCGCAATAAATTTTTTTTCCGATTCCAGGTTTAGACTTTTGATAATAAATATTCTTTGTTAGGGAGTGAAAAAATATGTCAAAAAAATGTACAAAATATACGAAGATTGTATGTGAGTTTAGGAGATAAAGAAACTAAATGTATAGAAAGATTAGACTATTATCCACAAATTTTATTTTGTATCATCATTTGCAGTTTTAAATGAACCTTAATTTTACACTCAAGGCTTATATGACAATAATATAGCATATATTTAGTTTTTCTTAAATGATTAAGACCTTCATTAAAACTTGCAACTTTTTTCTGAAATATAATTTTTATTATTTAGAATTAGCAAATATAAAATCTCTAAATTGGGAAATTATTCATGGATTTTTTTCACATTAATAGCTAAATTGAAATATTTAATTATGAATAATTTATTTTTGTACATAATTTTCTAAAACTTGTAATCTTAATATTTTAATAAATTAACCAAATTTTGTATTCAGATTTGACTTTTTTGGTAAATTATATTTTTATACATTATGTTCGATTCTAATATATGTAATCATAGCTTTCATAAACGTGATATGATTATTTAAAGGCAACAAATAATACTCTATAGATCTTGAAAGAAGCTTTATTACGACTGTAACATCAAAAAATCAAGATATGGCAGAGATCTGTCATTAAAATTTTTTTCAATAGATTTTTTGCTTATTTATACAATTTTCAAAAAGCATCAAGCATCAAGCAATTAATTTTGATTTGAGTCTGACAAATGAAAAAGAAATTCACATTTGATGAACTGTGCTTAAAAAATTTCAGCATAGATAACTTAATGAAATAAATTACAAGCAATTTATCAAGAATGTAGTCATCAAATTTAGTAAAATATTATTATACTGTATTGTACATATTATTAGGTACAAGATTTTTAACATTTATTAATAAATATTAATAATTTTATTGCAATTATTTAGCTTTTATTTGAAGTAACATTTACTCTTGTAATTGATAATATTCAGAAAATTTCATGATTAAAATTTGACATTAAATAAATAACTTAGAATCATAGTTCAATAATCTATTTACAATACAAAGGATCAGTTTTTAAATAAAATATTCCAAAAAAAGTCTAAATCCTCATGTGATTTCTCATTATGCATACATCTTAGTAAAGTGTGGATGAATTGAGAAGTAAGTTTTTGCTATTTGTAGTTAATCAAAATATCCATCAATTATTTCTCTGGCCATTTAGAAACAAAATTATTCAAAACTATAATAACATCGTTACCTGTGCATAGCGTTCATAATATATAAACTGGCCAATGAGTTGAGTACATGGCAAGCATTAATCACAGAGTACATATTTTTTGACCTCACCTTTCTGCGAGGAATATTTTACAATAATAAGTACGTAGCTTATGCTTTTTAAATTCTGTTGAAACACATACTACTTATAATTGTAACACACCATTTTATAGCAATAATGAATCACACAAATATTAAGTAATTTTTTATACAAACATAACATTGTTACATTGTATAATCATGATACATTCAGCTATATATGTGTTTGTTAGTTTAAAAATACAAAAAGTTATAATAAACAGTAAGTAGTTATGTATCATTCTCTCACCGATCACACCACTTAATCAGTTGTGTGGTTAGAAATTTCTCTTGTACATGTTTCAAAAGCTTGTAGAATCACGAAAACTCCCAGTTATCTCTTTGTCCGTCTTTGAGATTCTTCAGGGCTCTATTTCTCTGTAACCCTAAAAGCTGTCACTCCATGTTATGGGCAGGGATTAAGTACATGGGAAGAGGGGCAAGTTGACCGATGTAGGGCGGTGGCCTATACAGCAAAAACAAGAGTGGCTTATAAATATTTGTGGTGGTTTTGTGACATTAGTGTATGTTTTGCAAGTTATATATATTTATTTATATATTTATATGCCAAAATTCTGCTTTACGTACCTTGGGTTTTCTTATGTCTAAGATGCAACGTATAGGATTCACGGAGGAAAATGGAAATCCGGAAACTCGGCACAAGCTGAGAGCATATGCCTGCAGGAACAAGAACCTACATGGCCTGCGGCACGTCAGGCTCTGAAACCCCAGGTGGGATGTCGTGAGGACCAGGTGGCTCACCAGCATTGGTGGAGGGCTTCCTCTAGAGGCGAATATGGCACCAACTAAAGTGCCATCCAATCAAGCCCAACGCCATGTGCTCGACCACTTGGGCTCTCTTACCTGGACCTCGTTCCTCATGGGCCTCTCCTTTGTCCGGGTCTATGACCTCACCGACTCAAGCGCTGCGAGACCTCATCCCGCCCTGCCGGACGCATTCCCAGCTCACCAACGGAAACCAATCAAAATGCACAGCGCATAAGAACGTCCAACCCACGTTCGTTCTCTTCCGGTTGACCTCTGGAATACCCGTGAATAGCCTTTTGGAAAAAATCTATAACCCCCGTACTTTCCGAGGCGGTCAGTATCAGGTCGGGAGGATCAGGCCTGGCTCACCTCCCCTCGGGTCGGGTTACGTTCGTGACTGAGGTAGAGAGGGTCAGGTCGGCTGCGACAGTTAAGAGATCACGGCGCCCGTGACTAACAGTCTCTCTTTTGTCGTAAATGGCTGAAGCGAGGCGAGGGAGGCAGGGAGAATCATGGCTCCCTCTGGGCACGCACCCCTCTGCGGCACCAGTGTACGGGACAGTGGCAGTCGGTACCGTCCTGTCCTGGGATGGTATGGCGAGCGAGCAGAGTGACCGGTGATGGGACTTGTCTGTTCTGTATTCCCAGCAGGTCACTAATTACAAATCTAATCATAATAATTTGCACCGTACCGGAAGATGTAATTATAATCCACGTATATGGTGCTCATATCAGGGTCTTATTAGTTCCGTACGTGTCCACTTCGGGGCCGGCCTACAGTATCGTACAGCACATGACCGTCCGAGCGCTCGGCCCTCTCGCCTACAGAGGCCGGGAACACGTCACGATGTTGACATTACATTTGACTCGTATACAAACAACGGGACGTACTGGAACGTTCTTGAGCAACTCTCGTCACAGTCTTCTCTTCACCGAGCATCGGCGTACTGTACTGTACTCCAACCCGGACTCCGTTACGTAGTTCGTGTGGTCGGGTTTACTCGCCACGAGGTTGACTGTGTAGTGGTCCTGACTGTGCTCTGTCCATACATCTGACCATTCTCCACATGACTAATAAAGTTCAATGCGTTCGTAAAGCTCATGGAAATGGCATCTGTGTGAATGAGTGCGAGGTATAATGTGAGCACGCTCGACTTAACAATTTCCGATGGAACACACATTCGAACACGCGTCTTGAGGTCTGGCAGGGTCTCTTCAGACATTGAATGTCGCGATAGAAATTATGCGGTTGTCGTCAACTTTTCGGGGGATTCAACCGGCGAGAAGAGCTGTGGCCTTGACAGATCACAGCCCTTGCGAACATTTTGGACACGGGATTCGCTTCGCTCTGCGATCATTTCACTTGCGATCTTGAGGCGCTACCTACCTGACTGACGGGAGAATGTCATGCCCACTTTCTTTTCGAGGAACTCTCGAGACGGTTCGGATTTGCGAGCACAACACACGCAAACGGTTTTGTGGAGATTGAAGTTCATAATGGAGGCACTCAAGCAGATGTTTGCAACTTTTGGGCGTTTCCATACCCACACCGGGTAACTATGATGTCACGTCTAGAATCCCCATCGTTTTCTGAGGAATATGTGAAATAAATTTCAAGACGAATTGTGAGAAGTTTCTTCTTCAGAAAGCCTTCTTCCTTCTCCTTTATGGCAGTATCATGAGCATCATACCTACAAGATCTAGAGCGAAGGAACAAGGATGAGTGTTCCAGTTCATGATGGGAGTATGGGTGGAATTGCTCAGCAGTTGGACACCATAGTGACACATTTGTTTCGGCACCTCCCAAAATGTGGCTTTTGTCGTCGTCGAAGTAAGCTGATTTCATGGTGAAGAACAAGGACAATCAATCACCCCGATATTTCTGGGGGGTCTAATGATATCATGCTGAGTTCAAACACATGAGGAGGAGCGTGACTCTCGAAATAACCAACCACCGCTTTTCATATAAAGATCAGCATGTGCTCAAGTTCTTCGACTCCCGGCAATCTTCCTTGAGCCCAATCTCTTTAAGCTGTGCAAACTTGCTTCAGCGTGATCATTATGGGTTCAGTTATCTTGCGGTATAGACAAAATTTCTTTCAGCCCCTTTACCATGAGACAGCCGAATATGATTCTTATCACCTTTGGATGGATCTGATGATATTCTGAGGATCATGTTCTTCAGCGCTCCGTGCTCTTCAGTCGGAAAAGTTCCAATTGGCGACGGGCGCTAAGGCAAGAGTTCCTCGGTGTCTCGAGATAGCAAAAACAACCTTTCCATTTGGGTACATGTATACTTTAAAGGGAGATAAATTCAATCGGTCCCGTATGGTAGATTTCTTTTTTTATTCTTCTAGCCTCGTGCAAGAGAAATATGAGATTTAAAACATCTAAGATGAACCTTCACATTTCTTTAATGTAAAATTTAATTGTATATCTCTATTATATATTCAAGTACTGCATTTTATTCGAAATTTACAAAATCCAAATTTATCGTGTGGGTTAAGAAATTTTTGTTGGAAAATTTGTCAAACGACTTTCACAAATGATGAGTACACAGTCTCTTCGAGTCTCTTCTCTTTCACATGATGCTAAAAATATAGTGAAATATTTTTCAAAATAAGGTGCATAAGTCAAGGTATCGGAGAAAATAATATCACTATTTCTAAAACTTCTACTATGTTGAATATTGATTCAATGAGAAAATCGTAATTAGGGCTTCTCACAATCAAGACTATTGAAAAATTCGTAAGAAATTTGCTTTAACTTCTGTGTATTACATATACAAATATAGTAAATAAGTAATCTTCTTCTCAAAGTCAAACCATGATATCAAAGATTTCAAAACTTGCTATTTGTTTCTAGTCGACATGTATAATCAAACTGAATATATATATATATATATATATATATGTATATTCAAGTACAAAATTTTGATATCGGTACTTAATCAACTCCATAATTCTACAAAAGATAACAAATTCATCAAATTCTTATTATGTTTGGAAATAAATATCATTATAAAATTCTAGTTTAATACTGATAATGTCATTTTTTCCATCATTTTTATAAAGATTAAGTACAATTGCCACGAAGTTCAATGTTACTCGCATGACATTATGAAAGAAGTGATAGCGGTAATAGTTTTAAGAACAAAAGATGATATTTTGAGGTGATTTTACAAAGTATATTTATACAAACATTTATGCATCAAACCTGATAAAAACCACAAACTGAACTGTTTCTCAAAACTTTTATTCTTTAGACGAGTTTAATTCTAAGGTTATAACAATAAAAACACAATCCCGCAAATATAAATCTCAAAATTTTCACCAATGCAACTAATTATATAATGTCACAATCTTACACAGGAGATTACTTTTCTTAATGAATTAAAGGTCAATGTATGGCATTCAAACTACATTCGTTTACTTATATGAAACAAATCTTTCACTCCCTCCCGCTTTCTCTATGTCGTTAGTATTTCTTAAGTTAGTCTCCAGTTGTGTTCAGAAATATACTCGGGTAAGAGTCATCTATGATAATCTTCAAGAGCATTTGCTGAATGATATATGACTTGTAAAATTTAAACTTATATATTTTGAAATTTGTATTCCAATAATAATATTGATAACAAATATTGGTATAAGGTGGTTTTCAATAGGTTCAAAAGTTTTGTGGGAAAATAAAGACTCAGCATAGTTGTTATGTTGCACTTAATGTACTGTACAGACTCTTGATTATGAGCTACCTATGGTTATGTGGCCTATAGGCTTGTCCGCTAGAAACTAGACTTCGAAAAGCTTAGGTGAACAGATATCGAAGGTAACGAGAGACAAAAATATGAGAGATGAATCTAGAAGGTTTGTCATATTACTATGATTGATTTGTAGCATGATCATAGCTGACTTTTTTTTTTGGTTGCTAAGCGCATACCAAAGTAATAAAATTTTCTTTATTTTGTTGGATTGTAAAACTATAAATATTTTCATGATGATTAGTTGTTGCAAAAACTATCTTGGTATATACTCCAGGGTATACTCTTCCTGTGAACTCGTAAAACAACGGAAGAATTGACCTGATTATGAATGATTGATGCCTCCCCTCCATACACTCCTCTGTCAAAAGTCTTCTCTATAGCTTTTCATTTCTGAGCACTAGCTCCGAGTTCCGTCACTAGCACTCTTTAGGCATTACGACGATAGTGGAGAGCACCAAATTGTTTTCGTACTGGAGATGAAACTTGGTACTTAACACGACCGACTCTCTGTCCAATGATGAGAGGCACATCTTCCACTGAGTTCTCGTGAAAATCCATGCTTATAATCTGGAGGAAGCCAATTCGCCATATAACGCTCAGCATAAGCACGTTGACTTCAACTCCCATGCACTTCGTTCTCTCTGCCCTTACAAAGCTAGTGTGATCGTAGGAAGAAGAGGAGAGCGCTGCTAGATTAGTCGAAGCAGAGTGCTCACATTCTTGACGCCCCGTGATTTGCGGGAAATCTGCGTACCAGCAATACAATCATGCTCAAGAAGGGTGCTTTACCCGAGCTTTTTTTTCTTTTGCTCCGTCGACTCTCCTAGGAGGTAGGTATACGATGTTCATCTCACCATCTCCGAACAAGGTTCACGTCTGTACTTTACAAGATTGTCATCTAACCATTTAATCGGCATCCCTTCCAGGACTTTGTGAAGGTTTATGTTGCCGGTGAGATCTGGAACCGTTCCAAGATGTTTTTTTTTCCCAAAGGAGATACAGGAAGATTTCGGGGATTGTGAGAAGTATATGTCAATTCTGAGGAAAGAAGCCTTATTGGCGTACAAATCATTCGGCGTGTAGTACAACCTTCAATGATTACTTTTATCTTCTATCAATCGAGAAAATCGCTGTACTTTTTTCACGCATGCAAATGAATCTTTTCATGTTGTGCTGCCCTATACCTCAAATACATTCTTCTATTTTCATTCATTTCACCATTACTTTAGAACATGAGTATTAGGCTTGTAGATATCTTGGTCACAATCATGATGAGTTATATTCAATATTTAAACTGAAGTCACTATGATCAAGGCACGCCAAGGCTTCATGTAGAAAGCAAAGGCTCGTTCACTAAAGTCATGGTATATTTTGTCTACAATGCCTCGATGTTTTCCTCGGTTTGGAAAAATCTCCGGAGTGGACTTTCCGTTATCTAATATTCTCCAGAAAAGTGTTGAGATTGGAGACATATTGCATACGTAGAGCGGCCTCAAGAATCATGAGAGAATCTAGAAGATTGACAGAGAAAGTATGTCTGAAAGTCAAGCTAAAGCTCACTTTAACTTTTCATTACATTAGATGTTGTCCCTCATCATTTGATGCTTCGTCCACTACTTGCGCTATACATTCTTTTCTCGGATCCCGCATGTCGTCGACTTCTTGCTACCACAACGCATAATGAAGGTAGACGAAGGCTATTTGTGCACTTTTGGTCTTATATTACATCGATTGCTTCCACGAATGATGTATAAGCTCTCTGTCTGTTTTGTAGATAAGAAACAATTGTTCCATTTCTTCTAAAGCTCAAATATTTCAGACAAGAAAAGTGCGGATGCTATTCTTCGCGAAAGTTAGCGAAAACAAAGATTGGTCAGCATGTACGTACTTGGCATACAGCAGCAGTTTATCTGTTATATGTTGTCATAAACACCGGAAGTAGGTCTTGCATGGACTAGAAGTTTGCCACGAAGAACTGGTGTTAGTTTGACTTGTCACAAATATCCTATGAAATGAGGTGGACCTTCACATTTTTCACGAGTCCGAAGGGTCTTCGAAGGGCTGAAGTAATCATAACATCATATCTGACATCTCCATATCGGGCACAAAGGCAAGTGAATGTTGCTCATGACCTCACACGTACGCCAAATTCATGAGACTAATTAACTGGTACAAACTCAGTCATTGTATTGATACCTCACATTACTATCATGTGGAATGTCCATGTAATCTAAGAGCGATAGAGCTGAAAGCTCTATCGAAAAAAGTTGAGAAAAAGTTGTTATGGCCTAGCCCATCTTACCCACTTGCTTTCATCGGTGCAATACTTTACAGGGTAGTCCCATCCCTCTTGTTATCTTACTAGCTGTCTCTCTCGAATGAGTTGTCGAGACGGGAGCATCACTTTTCTTAATCTCTGTTTCCTTATGAATATATAATCATTATAGATCGGCGGCAATGGCGGTTGGTATGTAAAGGCTCAACTTTTCATTCATCATTATAATATTTGTGATAAATTGTGTGAAATACCATTATATTAAGAGATATATATAATCATATTTATTTAATTATTATTGTACTCTATTCTTTATTTTAGTCGGTGTTCATAATAATTCATACAGGCTATATCCATGGAAAAGTAATTAGGTGATTAATTTCTTAATTTAGACACTTTGTAGCGAAATAGTTTAAATACTTTATTTGCAGAATGACATTTTTGACATTGGGGTCTCGCGTCATCCGACTTGCTTGGTTTCATACTCATATGGTTGACAGGGTCTTCCCATCTTCTTTGCTACATCACTAGCTGAGAAAGTTCCCGATTGAGATTTTGACTGCATGTTAGCTTTTGCTGTAAAACTATCTTATTCTTCCATTCAATTTCACTATTCTTTTCATTTTGCATCTTCTTCAGATGTCTTATGGTGGGAATAAGTTGGAAAAGTCCATTTACTTTTGGAGGTTAGTGATATCTAAGTATCTGCTTATAAGATTCTTTAAGTACTTTGACCCGGGATTATTCCCAAGTAGCATAGATCTTAAATAATAAGACGATTTCAGCTGTACAGTATCTCAATACACATGGAGGAACAACAGCGATGACTTTGCACGACCATCCAAATTACTCATGTTGAGTCATACTGCGTCGATATCGCACACGGTAACTCTGACTTCAAAAATAAAGTTGTGGTCGTGTTTACTGAATGTGGCTCGTGAGTCCTACCCACCCAAACACCACCTGTATCTCCAGGCTCTATCAGACACAAACGTACCAAATAAAGGCTCGAGAGTAGTGGGTCGAGAGAAAGAGTTGACAACAATCCTTAAACTATCAGCACGGGAGAAAACTTCAGACTTCTTCCCACAATGTGGAGGAAGCACTACTCCAATTAACCACCGCTTCTAGTACAACTCAAGGTTTAGAGTCTCTGAACTCATGGGGGCCAAACTCATTGTACAGGGTTCTAGATCCGATGTTATTTCCATTGGAAGAATTTATATTGATGTCTTCGAAAAAGTCAATTGCGACCATCGTAGTTATCTTTGCTACGGTAGATGACAGACAGTTTGACATCCCATGAACTCAGTGGACTCCTAAAAATGATAATGATATTGATTGATTCAACATCTAGCACCCGATGAATCAATGAGCGCTCAAATTTCTCCGAAAGTTTGCAAAAGGTGTGTTGAATCAAGCCTGGTTCGCTAGAAGTTACAAGAAGCATTGGAGCAACATGCAACGCATTTATTGCTTTATTCTATATGCGGAGGGTAGTAGAGGCTACCAGATTTGAAAAGTTTTGGGGGCATCAGTTCAAAGGTCTGTTTCGGGTACTTGGGAACTGTTACTCAGGTTTCCCCCGGCAGCGCGCCGCAGGCGCTGCTAGCCATCACATAATCAGTGTCCTGTGCAAACCTTGAAGAGCATGGGACCAGTAACCATGGTTGAATCTCGGCACAGTACAGGGGAGCGATCGACAGCACAGTAGTCGTAGCCGATAGTCGGGTTGACTCGTCGATCCGATCAGGGAACGGCCGATGTGAGCCGATGCATTCTATGGATGGGTGGAGCATGAATGCAATGGAATGAGGGTCCTCGGCTAATCCGGACCCATTCCGCCGGATGGCATGTATGCGTATCGTCGGATGGCATCGGACGGCTGTATGCCCGGAAGGCAGAGCCTTCTGAATTTTGAAAAATTTGAAATAGGTCCACTGACCTTGACTGAACATCGCAGATCCTGTCCGTGAGCATGTTCAAAGGCGTCGATACACGGGGACGGGCGATAATCTGACCGCCGCGGCTCACAACACGTCAGTCGTCGGGCGTACAGGTTACAGGTTACTGTAGGGCGGTCGAGGGCGTCGTGAGTTCGCTGGACGGGAAGGGTACATTCGCCAGAGATTCTCCCGGAGGCCACGTCCGGGCCGGCCTGCGGGGCGACAGAAGGACGACGGCAACGACAGGACGGACGGACGGGCGGAATGAAGGGACCGGGGAAGCAGTGCACAACTCAAGGAACGGAAATCCACCTGGGAAGAAGGGCCCGGGCCGGGGGAGGGGGGGAGAGCTCCGAAGCCTGGGGAGAAAAGGGGAGCGAGCGATCAGACCTAATTGGAGCAGAGCGGAAAAGGGTCGGTTCGCGCGAGGGTGACGGGTGGCCCCACCCGCGCCCACGCAACGGCAATCCCCGCGTTTGAATGCGCGCATCGCACACCGTTCCTGTTCGATCGGACGGCGCGCGGCGGTTCCCTCCCCAGCTTCCCGCTCGCCTACAGCCCGCACTGGCCTTTCTTTTTCAGTTGTTTTCGTTTGTTTTGGGGCCCGGTCCGCCTGCAGCGCCCTCCTTCCTTCCTTCCCTCCCTCCTTGCTGTCTGTCTCCTTCGGCCGCTGCTGGCCGCTGCTGGCTGCTCCTGCAGCGTGCGCTTTGTTGGTGGTGCAAGCGCACTGCTCTCTGCCGCATCCTCCTCTGTAGATGTGCGTCCATTTGCCATTTGCAGAGTCTGTACATCTCGCCCGCAGCACAGAAACAGCAGCAGCTGCTGCTGCAGCAGGAGGAGGAGGAGGAGGAGCGGACAAGAACGGGGGGCTGGGGGTGCGCGATACTTTGCGGCTTAATTTATGAGACCGAGTTTGAGGGAAAGGGGGACGGGAGCAGCATTGGTCAGTTCGGGAGCGCGGAGGTTTGGACGTGGTTCGGTTGGTGCTGTGCTGTTCGGTTGCGAGGATGAAGAAGAGGAGGCTAGCAGCGTAGCGCAGCGGCAGAGAGGGAGGGAGGGAGGGAGAGACAGGAAAGGGATACAGGAAGAGAGAGCGGAGAGACGGGGAGCAGGAGGGAGGGAGGGAGGGAGGCAGGAGGGGGAGAGAGGGATGGAGGAGCAGCTGCTATCATGACGTATGATTCGATCTGATTCCTCCATTTTGAATCCTCGTCTTTTTTTCTTTCTTTCTTGAGGCGTGCGGCTCACATTTTTGAAACTCTCGGTGAGGGAGGAGTAGTAGTAGAGGGAGTGAGTCGTGCGTGCCCCGGTGTGCTCTGGCTGTCGCCTGGCCGCTCGCCCTTACCTCTCGAGGCTTGGATTTAGGTAGTAGTGGGATTGGTGTGGTAGGAAAAATAACCCCCGCCCCCCTCCCCTTTCCACGAAGAGGGACATTTCGTGGAGGGTGGCGAGCCACTGCGAGGTCGGATCGATAGATCGATCCGGCGGGCTGCTCTAAGCTCCCTTGATTCTCCAAATCTTTTTCTTCTTTTTTCCTTCCTCTTCCTCTCGTCCCTTTCTCAGACGTTGGGCTGCACCTGCCGCCCGTGAGGACTCGGAGCGCATAGTGACCGTAATAGAATTACTCTAGTTTCGGGCTTCTTACGGATCCATCACGTCTCCAGCGTCTGGTGTACTCATCTCCGTCTGGTGTTTTGCGCAGCGAGTCGGAGGAAACGACATTGCGTCTGTCTTGGCCGATGCTTGGATCTTGACGGCTGCGGTGCATTTTTGAATCTTGACCCGCTTCAAGGCGAGCAGCCTTCGCTTCTTTAGTCTTCTGCGTTGAACACGGAAGTTTGCTTGGCTGCTCGAGGGCTGTGAGACCGTCCGCTGTGAATGCAATGTGGCTGCGGGTGTGCGAATCCCTTCCTCAGCCTTAGCCGGGCAGCGAGTTCGTCACTGACACTGCAATTGGTCTCACTGGTTCCACCTCTTGAAGCATGGGATAACATTTATGGCATTGCGGTCTTCTTCAGCGCCAATATGCAGTCTGGGATTCCTCGCATCTTCCAATTTATGCTTCCTTCTGTAGCATCGCATTTGTCTCTGGATGACAATTTTGGATCTTGGATGAACTATCGTGTCAATCACGGGTGCAACTATCCGCATGCGTCTCCGTACGTGGACAAATTTCTCCGGTGAAGCACATTGCAGGGGATGTAATGGTTGGTGTCCTGGTCTGTGAAGGCTTCAGGTCGATGCAGTAAGGAAGGCCCACTTTTTTATGAGAACAATTAGTCGACTATAGTATATTATCGCTGGTCTTGTTTCAACGAAATGACAGGGGCATCGATGGATCTGGATCAAGAGCTCATGAGAGCGGAAGTGGAGAGCGTTTCATCGGATAATACTGTCGCCTCTGGGACAAACGGAAATGTACAGGTGGTTGTGAGAGTGAGACCTCCTAACAAGAAGGAAAGCGATCAGGGCTATGTCAAATGTATTGGAGTCGATTCGGGGTCGCACTCCTTGACCCTGACTTACCGACCGCAGCCTCGCACTTTTACATTCGACTACGTTGCCGACGAACTTGTCACGCAGGTGTGCCCTGTCACCTTCCCATGACCACTTGATTTCATAGAAATACATAAAGTCTTCCGGTCTGGTGTCACATTTCAGCCTGCCGCAGAAGGTTTCTGTTTAGCTAGGGCGGGATTAGATTTCTCATCGAGCGGGATTGATCTAGTAATCATCTCCGTTTCTGGTAAGCAAATACTGGTGATACAGATTATGAAACCGCAAGTTATGCTTTCCAATCAAGTTTGCCATGCGGCGACCTCCCAACTTACTAAGTTGACTCTAAGCATATGCAACCTCCGTCCGCACCGCAATTCAACTAAGCGTGATATGTGTTGTCGACGACATCCTGCGAGTTCGTGGCTCTGTGGCATATTGAGCTATGGGGTTTTCAAACTGGGCGTCTTTAACATGCACTGTCGAACGTACGATCGGCACTCGCGCGGTCAACGGACTGTACCACATGTCGATTCTCATTCTCTTCTCTGCATGGCCCAGTGATCTTCTGACATGTTTCATGCCTTGGAACCTTTTGTGGTGAGATCCACTTACATTTTCAGCTGGAGTGTAAATGTCACCACAGGGTTAATCATCACTGCGTTCTTCCCCCGTCCTCACAGTTGAAGAGAGTGATGCAATTTTTCCTCAGGCTCCTCTCAGCGACACGGTTATTTCTCCAGCTTCTAGGTCCTTACCGATGTTCTACATGCATGCAGGAAGAAATTTTTGCCGCCGTGGGGAGGCCTATCACCGATGCCTGCCTTCAAGGATACCATTGTTGCCTCATTGCCTATGGTTTGTTGTCCGCACCTAGCCCTGCCGAATTGCAGCAGAGTAGTTTGTGGCATTCTTCAGTCATATGTGGAAAGATGACACGCTCTTCTGACTAATATTTTGGAGATCCCGACTTGGTTTGGAACTCATCTCATCCTCATCGATGATGCAGGGCAAACTGGTGCGGGAAAGACCTTCACTATGGAAGGTGAGTGGCTCTATGGTACCCGTTCAGCTCGCGATTTCCTGTCTGTCAGCTGAAATCCGGCTTGAACTGTTTTGTTGTTGTCTGTTCAATCTCGCCACATCTGGGATCGTGGAGATCGAATATCTTCCTTCACTTCACTGGAGGGTCAGCCACTCGTTCCCACTTAATTTCGATCCTTCATCTACGAAATCTCAACTTATGGGGCCAAAACACCACCGTATTAAGAAGATTAGCGTTTGTCGTCTACGCAGGTCCTGACCCCGAGTCGTCGTCCGGGAATTCTCCAGGATTTGCAGCCCAGAACAAACAAAATCTTAAGCGCCATGAGAAGCGTGGTTTGATTCCTCGCATTCTTGACTATATATTTCAGAGGATGTCTTCTGAGAAGACGCAGGTGAGGCTGGCAGTCCTAGCATCTTCTCGTCATCTCCCGTTCATTTCTTGAACTACTTCGAAGTTCTTTTCACGGTTTGTCCTGTCGATCATCCGACTAGACTCACCCCAGCGGAAATTGTCCTTGACTAATAAGACTTACTCTTGAACAGAACTGTAAGGACGTGGAATTCGTCGTGAAATGTTCGTATCTTCAGGTATTGTGACCATTCAAGCCAGCGTGTCTTTCGAAACCTCTTTTTGACTAACAGCTGTTCATGTCGATCAATTGAGCTTCGCATCGGCAATTTCTATTTTTTGATGCTCTCCTAAGAATCATGGTTTCCATGCAGATATACAATGAGCAAGTTTCGGACTTGTTGGATCCAGCGTCTCTCAATCTCAGTATCCCTTCAGTATTTTGATTATTTGAATATTTTCTGATATTTGCTTAGACCTGGAACTGTAGAAGCGTGCTCATTCAGTCCAGATTCTACTACTGATTCTATGCAAATTAAATCTGCTGGTGAGATATTTGAGGTCCTTGACTTACCCTCAGCTATCCACGAGGATGCCAAATCTGGTATGTATGTAGAGGGATTACAAGAAGTAGTTGTATCCACAGCGGAGGCAACCTACGGTGTGTTCAGACGAGGGTCTGAAAATCGTCATGTGGGGATGACGGCTATGAACGCGGAGAGCAGTCGCTCTCACAGTGTTTTTACTGTGGTTGTGGAGTCTCAGGTATGCGCTTCTATTACAAGTAGTTCCTTTGAATCACTTGGGTTTTATTTCTGAGTGTGGGTATCGACTTGTCCGTTGTTCTCGTGTAATACCTCATGCATTTTACAAGTACCCTTTATGAAATAGCCAGTGCTGAAAATGCGTGCCCACTCCATATGTCTCTTACAATCATTATTTTATACAGCGTCGGAACGATGGTGGAGTAATGAACAGACGAACGTCGAGGTTTTATCTTGTCGACTTGGCTGGCTCTGAAAGGCAAAAGCATGCTGAATCTGCCGGTATACGACTTAAAGAAGCTGGCAGTATCAACAAATCGTTGTCTGCCCTTGGAAATGTCATTAAGGTATGCATACATCATACGCGGTTTTTCCATTGTAGAGATTTACATCCTTTGCGAGTGGCAAACACAAGATGCAGTGTTCAATTCTGATATATTGTCGTACAATACTTGGCAGGCCCTTGTCGATATCTCTGAGGGCAAAATTCGGCACGTGCCTTATCGAGACTCGAAGCTTACCTTTCTGCTGAAGGCATGTCTTCCAACCTGAATCTCTTCCGATTGGACAAGAACTTCGATCTAGTGAGGATGTCTGTGGGCTTCATTCGTTTACTTCTTACCATCTTTCAGCTAATATGTTAAGGTCTGTCAACAGGATGCATTGGGAGGAAATTCGAAATGTACTCTTATTGCAAATATCAGTCCGGCCGAGAAAAACGTTGAAGAAACGATCTCAACTTTGAAGTTCGCACAACGAGCAAAGTTGATCCACAATACGGCTATTGTTAATGAAGACATGTTCGGAAACCCTGCTGTCATGGGAGAGGAAATAAGGCGGCTAAGACTTGAAATCGCGGCATTGAGAGGTTCAACCACTTTAACCCTGGCCGTTTTCGACAGGCGTCCTTTCATGTCCAGAATTGTTTCTTTCACTTCAAATGCATTTTAGATGTTAGTTAACAATGGCGCCAATGTGTGCATGAAACTAGCTTTTGAGGTCATGAATCAGTGTGGACTCTTGCCTACGTATCAATGGCCTTACTTTGTTCTTGTCCTTCCCGTATACAGCTAACATAGGAAGTGGACCTGTTGGAGACCAAAGTCTTATGATGATGACTCAAGAAACACCAGCAGGTATTTCATATCTCTGTCTTTTTCCCACTATGAATTGGGTATCGTTTGCAAGGCTTCGAGGTCGCTTGCTGGCTCGAGCAAAATCGATGATCTGATATCCGACTGTCTTTGAACAGAAACGTCACGTGTTAGTAGGCTGGAGCACATCATATCTCAATCAGTGAAGAGGTCCTTGGAAGCAGAGAGGAAGGCTGAAAGCGAAATGCATGTGCTCCATGTTAAACTTGAAGCCTTGCAAGCAATGTGTGAGAGATTGGACAAAACTTCTCAGGTAAGTCCATCAAGTCATTATTGAATTTTCCTTGTATGAATTGCATATCTTAGGATACCAACTTGTGAAAACGAGGACATGAAAGGTCGTCGTTCTACTCCGAGGACTTCCGCCTTCCACTCTGCTTGCTAGAGAATTTCTTCTTTTTCACTCTGTTGATCTCTCTGGTTTCATTGTCCCCTTGCAGTCTCAAAGAATGATCCTAAGGCTCCGAGAGAACACTATCAAAAGGATGGAAAACGGCCGACAAAATTATCAAAGTGATGACATCACAATTATTAACATGCGCGAGGAGATTGAGCAGTTACGCAAACAGATCGAGCATCATCCTGACGTTGTTCGATTCAAAATGGAGCTGGACCTGTGTAGAGGTACAAATGAACATGTTGGGCTTTGGCTATGGAGGAGCATCTTTTCAGTTCTGGGAATGTAATGGAGGGAGCAAGAGCGTCCATATCATGTTTACTTACTAGTTCGTTTGCTTGTGCTACCACAGAACAATTGGACGAGTACGAAGACGAGAGGAAAGATGAGGACAGCCTGCAGTCTCAAATAGCTCAGTTGGAAAACCTGAATCAAACATTGAAGATTGAATTCCAAGAGATGGTCGAAGAAAAATCGAAATTAGCAATGGAATTGGCTGAAGCGAAGAATGAGAGGGATGCATGCAAAAACCAGCTGGGCACAGTTGACGAGCAGGTATGATATTGTGCCTTATTCTGTAATATGTTTTGTGAAGAACAGAAAGATCTGTACGGCTGACTTTTTTCTTCCTCAGTTTGTGAAGCTTCGAGAAGCCGTCGAGAAGTACAGGCAGGAAGCTGCCGAAGCTATTCAGAAATATGAGAAATCAGAAGAGAAACTTCAAGAATGTACTCGGGAACAGGACGAGGTGAATTACTCAATACCTCTCCAATCATCGTTTTTCCGAAACTCTGAAGCCCGAGGGTTTTACATTGTCTAGTTGCAATCATCCATCGGTGCATGTCCAGCCTGTAAAGATTGACGCCGTATTTACTATCTTCATTAGTATTTTTCTAAACACACTATTTAAATTCTATGCATGCAAGCAACTCTCAGTTCCTAACTTTCCGCAATTTGCACACAGGTATGGCGAAGGTGCAACCTTGCAGAAGCACAGGCAACTGAATCTGCCCAGCAGCTCGCTCTGCAAAAGTCCCAAGCGGAAAAAATGAAGGACGCATTCTTTCAGCAAACAAAGCTGCAGGCAAGTTCCTTTTGCTGTTGCTAAGCTGAGTTTCATGTGTTCTGTGATCGTCTCTAGATATCTGGGAAGGAATGTAACGAAGCTCGTGATCCAAGAGATGTGGCCATAATAACATAACCTTTGGCGTATAATTCAGTTCTCCAAGGGTGATCACATGAACTGGTGTTACTAGTTTTCATGGTGGTAATTTTGCATAGAATCCGCTGTACTTCGTCAGTGACTCAATCTGACTATCTACAAACGTATTTGCTGCCGAACGAGTCGTGAGTGTTGACATTTTGAAACCTTCGTGCTCTCAGGAGGACATGTTCGTCGAGTTACAAAAGACGACGGATGAACTTGAAAGTGTAAGATATCTGTACATGACTTGTAACTATCTGTCTTTCCAGTGTTAGGAGGTGTATTGAGATGACGGATCTACTTTCCGCAGATTATTGCGAACTCATGTATGTTGTTACCCGTTCTGTATTACTGCAGACAAAGCAACTTGCTGCAACTTTGCAAAACAAGCTGGATGAAGTTACTGCCCAAATGGGACAGTGGGATCAGAGAATCAAGGACTCAGAGGAAGTGAGGAACAAGACTACGGGTTCTCTGGAAGAGATGGTGAGCTAACGAAGCATGATGTTTCGTGACGTTCTACCTATATTTTGCTCATCGTCTGTAGTTTGTATTGGGTGTTAATTTATACTCATGAAAGGATGTCCGTGTGGAGTATGTGGAATAGCCATCTCTATGACGTGCTAACGATACATGCCGTATATATGTCGTTCAGCCGATAATTTCCTAGTGTGAGATTGTTGTATTTGTATTATGACCTAGAAAAAGGGGATGTTATGTTACGGATTTTTTTTAAAATTCATTTTATATACTGTAGCTTTGAATTGCTCTCACATATACTTTTCTTCTTCGCTCCTTTGTCAATGAAATATGACGTGTCTGAGTAAACGACGTTGCAGGTGACAGCCTGTGAACGACTTGCGGAGGCGTGCAAAGAGAAGGACGCCCACCATGCAGAGCTTTCAAGTCGGCTGGAGCAAGCTGATACCGATGCCAAATCTCTGGAGGAGAAGCTTGTTGCGCTTTCCCTCTTGAAGGCCGAAGCGGAAAACACTAGAGACGCTGTTCTAAGTCAACAAGAGCAGCTACTGGCAGAAGTAAGGGCAGAGAAGGAGCGAGCTCTAGAGGAAGAGCGAAGGATTGGTTCTGATAAGTTGGAGAAAATGAAGGCCGATATGGATGCTGAAGTGAAGCAGCTGACATCTACCTTACAGAGCCATCTTGCAAAGGTGGAGGAGCTGGAGAAACTTGTCGACAGTCAGGTGAGCACTATCAAGGACAATGAAATTCTGCACAAAGCTGCGGAATTGGAGGCCAGTGAACTACGTCTCCAACTTGAACAGACGAACTCTGAGGTAGCAGAGCAAAAGCTGACCGTCAGCGACTTATCCGCGCGCCTCGAGTCCGCCATGTCCCAGCTGAACGCTCTCTCAGAGGGAAAGACATCCCTCGAATCGAAGGTTACCGAAGCTGAGCAGATGTTTGCCCGACTGGATGCCGCAGAGAGGGAGAAAGAAAATGTGGTGAAGAGGTTATCTGAAACAAGTGTGTTACTGACGGAGGCTAAGGAAAATCTAGAGTCTTTGACTTTGGAACATCAAAACCTCAAATGCGCTGGGCATGAGGCTGAGAAGAAACTTCTTCAGATGACTTCCAACTTTGAATCGATGAGGAAAGATTTTGAAGTCCTTGCTGCAGATAATCAATCTCTGAAGGTGGATGTAGAAAAGAGAACAGAGGAGCTTCAAGCTGCAAAACTGAGGAGTCTTAGTTTGGAGTCATCTCTTGCCAACGAGGTCACCAAATCTGAAGCCGCCGAAAAGCAGATCAAAGAGCTTGTGGAAACCATTGATAGCCTTAAGGGAGATGTTGCATCTATGGAAATCTTAAAGTCTGATCTTGTAGAGAAGACGAAGGAGTTGGAGATTCTGCGTAAAGAGGCTGCTGAGCAGAGTCGAAAGTTTTCCTCTTTACACGCTGATTCAGAGATTGCACATAAGGATGTTCAGAGGCTTCTGCAGTCAGTGCAGTCCCTTGAAGAAGAGAAGAAAAAACTCTCAGAGAAAATCAGTGATCTAGAAGGTGCCTCTTCTTCTGTACAGGAGGTCATTCAAAGATTAGAGGCGGAGAAATCAGCATTCCAGGCAAGGATAGACGATCTACAATTAGAGAAGAAAACGGTCGAAGTTCAAGCAGCTACTCTTAGGACATCCTTGAATGCCAGCGAGGAGGCCATGCGTGATAGCTCGGTCAGCCTTGAGGACATGAAGTCCAAGCTCCTATGTAAAGCTGAAGAGTTGCACAAATTAGAATCCCAGGTCGAGGGGCATGCCGACCAGATACAGATGGCAGAAAGCGCTTACAAGGCATTGGATAGTGAACGCAGCCGACTGGAGAAGACGGTGAGAGCTCTACAGGATGATAAGGAAGCATTGAGTAAGAAAATAGGTGACATGGAGTTGAATTCAAAGGCCATGGAAGATTCTATAGAATCTTTGAAGCAGGAGAAGATTGCTCTGCAAGCAAATCTTGGTAGTCAACTCGAACACAGCGAGAAGAACATCATTTCTCAGCATCCCACTGAGGAAGATGTGAAAGATGTAGATATTGCCAACCATGTGATTCATGGGGAAACCCAGGTGTGCATAGATCCAGGAACTACCCATATGGACCTCTTAGTCAGTAAGAAGGGAAATCATCTTAACCATGTTGATGAGGTTGAGAACAACAACATGCATCCAGATGAGAAGGGAGAAGATAGGAGACCACAGGAACAGGTGAGGAAGCTGGGAGTCGTTCCATTCTCATAGTTCGTCACTTTGTCATTCAGTTCCAGGACTCTTTGTTTGGCTGGGGACCTCAGGTAGGCTATTATTAGAATTCTACTTTGCGCTCATAATCACATTTGACATTTATTGCTATAAGTACTATATATCTGGCTATGACTAAGTAGTAGTGGATTGTAAATGATGAACTGAAGAGGCATGTTTCGTATCTTGTACCTTCGTTCTAACACAGGACTCATGCATCTTTCGTTTGCCAGAGCGCGTTACATCCTCCCTTCAAAAGTTTGTACACTGCTGCTTAGCATGCCAAGATTGCAAGTTGAGTAACAAAGAGCGTGGTGGGCTCAACAGGAAACAGATGCGAGGCTTGTGGCTGCCCTGGCAGATATTACTGATTTCAAAAGTCATGTTGCTGGGTGTGAGACCAAGCTGGATCTTGCATTGAAAGCCCAACTTGAGGCAGACGAGCAGTCCCTGGTTGCTTTGTCCAGGGCTCAAGACTTGGAAGTTCAGGTGGCTTTACTAACTGGTGATTGCAGTAAGCTTAGAGAAGCTTTGTGTTTGGCAAATTGTAGAACTAGCGCCCTGGAGATTGAGTTAGGACAGTGCAGAGAGCAAGAAGAGACATATGCGCAAGTCAGATATCAAACTTCGGAATTGGAGAAAGAATTGGACTCCTCTCTTTCCCTCCTTGAGAGCGTCACAGGGGCGCTTGAGGAGAAAAAATCTGAAGGGATTGATTTGCTTAGAAGAGTAGCTGAGTTGAGTGCTGAGAAGGATGTTTTGTACAAAGAGCTTGAGAAGGTTAGCGCTGCAAAGTTGAAGCTTGAAACAGAGCCTACCTGTACCACATCCGAGTATGTGGAAATGGAGGCGAAAGTAGAGGAACTGAGCAATGAGTTACAGCTTATGAGATTACGCCTGGAGACTGTCGTAGCTGATGCTCTTGGGAACACTAGCAAAGTAGAGTTCGTACGGACTGAGGCTGCTGAGATGGAAAACAAGCATGCCGAAGCTGATAACAGAGTCCTTAGAGGTCATGGCAGAGTGACTCTGTTGGAGGATGCAAGGTCCAAACTGCAATCACGGGTAGCATTGATGGTCGTCGAGAAGGCCAACTTTAACGACAAGTTGAAATGTCTCGAGGAACAGCTTGCAAGTGATAGAGAATCTGGACTTCAGTGTAGTGTTTCTGAACAGAGGCTTGCAGCGTTAGAAAGTGATGTTTCCAGACTTGTGGATGAAAAGCAGGATCTGGAAGCCGTGTTTAGAGGAACAATATCCTCACTCCAATCTGAGAATGCTAAGCTGAGGTCTGATATTATAGACCTGACCCAGAAAGTACTGTCCAGAGAAAATGAGATTGCGAAGTTGGAGGCTCACAGTTTGGAGCTCAATGAGGCAGTGGATTCTCGTAATTCTCGGATCACCTGTCTTGACGAGCTCTTGACAACTGTTGCCATGGATCACGAGACCGAGCTCTCGATCTTGACTCGTAGGTTGAGTGATCGGGATCTCCAGATCGGCAAGCTGACGGGGCAAAATTTGAAGTTTGTCTCGGAGTTACAGGAATTGAGAGACGAGGTTCAGTACAGCCTGGGCGAGGTCGAGTATGAGTTTCAGAAGCACGTCATTGACACAGAGACACGTTTGAGCGAGATGGAGAGTCAAAAGAAGGCGGTTCAGACAGAGGCTCTTCAGCTGACCGCCCGCATGTCAGCTGAGAATGCCAAGTTCGCTTCTATGCTTTCTGCTCTTGAGCAGCAGGTTGTGGGCCACCGTTCGAAGGTGGAGGCATGGATTGGAAGTTTCAACAGCCTAGATTCTGAACTTCTACGGATGAAAGCTGAGTCGGTGAAGATGAAGGACTTGGAGGTTCTCATCACAAAACTGCAGGGAGAGCTGGTTGCAGAGCAAAAGACAGGCGGCGAGTTGAAGCAAGAGATCACGCAACTCCGCAGGCGCCTTACAGAGCAGGCAAGTCTTCATACTCTGTTCTTCCTAGTGCTGGTGGTGATGACGTATAGAGCAATTCCATATTACCATTGTCTACTGGCCTCCGATCATGCCGATTTTCGTTCTACTACTCATCTTATCGGGTGCTGGTATAACGTCTTCGTTATACAAAATTACAGATTAGACGTCGATTATCTCACACCGAAGTGATATTATATCGTCCGTCAAGTGTAGGTCATCTTCTTTTGTGGCAGGTTTGTCTGGAAAGCTGATCTGAACGTTTTGGTTCCGTTCAATCTACTTGCAAATACTGCAGGTTAAGAAGACGAACCCTTTCAGCTGGAATAGTTCAATTGGGAATCCACCGAAACCAGAAGTGAGGACAAACCAGGGTTCTCTTAGCCTAGCGGGAACAGATTCGGCGAGCAAGGAGGACTTCACACCTAGATTTGCTGCGCAACAGAAGAAACGGGTCGCTTTGTCAAGTAAGGACCGTCCGGCAGGCAAGTCCAAGACAAGCAATTCGAAACAACCCGAATTTTATAGTATGAAGGTCCTCAGCGAATCGCTTCACTCGCCAACCCTGTCAGCTACTGCACCTGGGAATGGTCTGCAGACCTCTCGATCACTCAGCCGCCTTCGAAATGGTACGTGTTCCTAATTTAAGTCTCATATGAGCTCAAGGCTGCATATTTTTAACGTTATCAGTACACGTTACCCAACATCTTAGCGCTGACGTATCTTACGGAAATCTGTCTTCGCAGTTTCGGCAACTATGTCTACGACACAATCCGTGGACAGGTCAAAGAGACCTGCGCTTTCTTCGACTCATGCAGCTGCCCCCACTCGTCAGCCGTTACGTTCTATATCCAACCTGAACACGAACGAGCTGAACAGGTCCAACCTCGACGAGCAATTATCCGGACTGTGTAACCATGTCGCGTCCCTTGTAACTAAAATCATATGATTTATCAGTCTGTCAGTGTTCGCCATTCACTTCGAGTCTTGCTTCATTCCCAAGTGCAGTAAGTGAAGGCATCAGGGTGTCGTGGTGTGTCTCTGTGGCAGACGTGCACCTGCTCTTGTGAAGCCGAATTTGAGCAGCGGCAGGCGCGAGAAGGGGGAACCAACGGCCAATACCGAGGCTCCTCCTCGGAACAATAAACGCCGTCGCCTGGCTTGAGGACACTTTGACAGTAGTGGGAAGCTATATCTCCCTTTCAATTTTTGTACATAGAGATTTCTCCGAAGGGCGGATTTTTTTGTCTATTGACCAGCGGCAGTTCTCGAACTCTCTGTGCCAAATGGGAGTTTTTTGCTTATACACTCCTCGGCACTCACTCGTGGTATGAGACGCAATCACCTGTTCTTACACTCATGAAAACATGAGTTCAGGTATATGGAATCAGCGGCAGCGGCATCTGTACATGTGGAGTAGATAGCGCAGGATTTGTGAGGCTAGGCAGGGAAGAAGTATGTAAACATTCGACATTTATTCAATTCGTTGCATCCCGTGCTGGGGTGCTCCTGGAACTTAGCCCCGTTAGACTTAGGCTATGTGGTAGTGGTAACATCCCGTGTCAAGCTTGTAAATTGCCTGTGCTTGGCGATCAAGAATGTTATGTGTGGAAAACCTCAGTTCTGCGTCTGGCCCCCGAAAGCGCACCTGTTTGTGTTGTTTTCAATCATCCGTCCACTCTTGTGATACGAACATGTATGAAATAATCGGAACAATCTGAGAACTTATGCATACTGCAGGCGTCATACAATTTCATGAGAGAGTGGCTACCCGAGGTAAACAACTTGTCCCCCTCAATGAACGGAATATTCGTGGAGATGAACCCCACGGAAACCGAGTAGAGAGGGTTGTGTGAATCCACGGAACATCCAGTGCGAAGAGATCAGTCAGATTTAGTAAAGAGATTCACCAGGAAAGTACATACAGAAGTTAACTACTGCACTGCCCATTTCTTTGTTCCAGGTAGACATATCCTAGGTCAACGATGTCGGAGTTAACCACCACGAATACTTCGTTCACCCAACCGACGACCCTGGAGAAGATTTACTGTTACCGTTTTCAGTAACATCATCACATTGACTATTTTCTTCACATTATTTCACATCATCCACGCGTCCAACTTGAAAGAAATCTGAAAGTTCCTTCTATCGAGGTGAAAGAAATTGTCGTAGAAAAGGGCATTCAGTACGAAATCAAAGGTTCTGGTTAAAGTCAGTGGACTGTCGGGAAGGGAACCTACTCTTTTTAACTGAACAACACTCTACTAACTCATGCTTGATCACTCTTGTTCTAGGAGCTTATGTTATGCATTATTAGTGGGAATTGAAGAATTGGTTTGATGGTATCTATGTGGTTTTTATATGAATGGCAATGGAATTTATGTGAGAATATTGTTTGATGGGATCCATGCGTAAATCAAATAGTTTACTGGTCCATATCATTTTGACCTTTGGCACCACCAACGGCACCCATGTTCTAATATAGACGTATCAAAAATGCCACCGCACCTTCGACAGAGAAGAGAGTTGATATTACAGGGAATAAAGTGATTTACTGTAAAAAGTGATTCATTGAGTGATTTTGTAGTCACATGATTACTAACGGCTAAGACATCTCCAACTAGTAAAATCAGCATGGGTTTTGCTATTACCTCTATGCAGACCTCTAGATCTTCTGATGAATTAAATCCATGTAATATCTTTAACTTCAAATACGAAATTTTCGTACTAGTGGTAGAGTATCCTTCACAAAAACACGTCGTCTTTATTTATTTGACAAGGGTCCTTGATTTGCATGTACACAACAAACGTTCCGGATATTCATCATCTTCTGTTCATATGATTGCCGCGCATGTAGCTAGGTGGACACGTCGATCCAAACGATTATTCTGAACCGATTCACTCTTTTATTCGCTCAAGGACTAAGAGGGACCAGACTACTGAAGCTGTTGATTTTGACTTACTCGTTACTTGCATGGTTGAAATTCTACCGTGCACTCTTTCTTAAACAGATTCCGATTCTCTTCTTTGATCGCCAAGTTTGTTTCACCCTCTAATTCAAAGTGCCAGACTTCCACGCAGCAAAAAAGAAAATCCAAAGTGATATTATCATTCAAATGAAGAAATGGAGATTGTCAAGATGTGGAAAAATTCGACATTTTTTGGAATATATATACATGTATATAGAGGGAGAGGATCAGATATCTTCGTGGCAGTACATATTTTCCATTGTGATGCTATTGAGTGACTGATTTGGTTCCATTAATGTAAGTATTCATGGGGTCGTTTTTTGTTGTTGCAGTATACTCAGTCCTTTTTTTTTTAAGTAGAACTAAATCAAATTGAAGCTTGCAGATCTCAATTTTTAGTTATATTCTAAAAAAAAAATATCCTTAACTAATATCTTATTACGATCATCATGTTGTATGATGTGACTTTGACTTTAAATATGAAGATATGGAAACTTGAATTTTTTTATTATTTTCCATAATCTATCGTTATATGTATTATTCATGTAAAGAAATATTATTGTCATTTCTCCGAATTTAAGTTTGTGACTGCTCGAGTATCGTGGTTAATTTGTTTCTCGTCCTCTATATGCAGCCAGCTGATGCCAAATGAAGTCCATCTTGTGCCAGGAACTCCACGGAATAATGCAGCTCAGCAGAATATTAGTACCTCGACATGGACATTGTACATGGGCATGCCATGCCACCACATCTACGTACAAAGCTATCAGTCCCAAGCTCGAAAACCTTGATATATCATGTGAACCTCGTACCTGTTCTTCTGACATCTGAATCTTCTCTCCGTAAACGGCAGAGATTCCTGCAAAAGATTCGGCTGACTTAGCTCAGAAGTACGTACCTAGTGTGTGCGACTAGCATTGGCCACCCCAGCATTCCGTGTCCACCTCACGCGCCAATCTGCAAACCAACAAGCACAAACGTCTTGTCAGCAGTGACGTGGAACACCGAGACCTGCACTCGACGGTCAATAACCCTGGGGAGACATGACCCTGAATGCCGGTATCTGCCGTCCCTGCGCCGGAGTCCAGTTGTCGTCCCAGACCTCCCCGCACGGTCCTCTGGGAGGGTACGGTCTGCAGTCGGGGTCGGTCCTCCGCTGACGCCGGGCCCATTGCAGGTACCCATTTTCACGGCGATCCCTCCTCCGACGAGCGCCGGCAGCACGCCAGAAGGAGGGAGGAGGCCAGCCGTGCTCGAAATCGTCACGTCGGTACCACGTCGGATCGGACAGCTGTTGCCACGCGATATCGCGCGGTCGGGCCTCTGGAGGAGGACTGGCCGGAGGACAGGGGACGAACTCGCCGGTGGCCGGGTCCATCACATCGCCGAGCCGGTAGGCGCGGTCGGGCTCCCAGAGGTTCGGCGGGCCCTGCACGGGATCGGGATCGGGAGGCGGGTAGACCAGGGGCGGGGGCCAGCCGCCCGCGGGTTCGAACTCGGGGAAGTCCGGGCGCATCCACGGGGCTTCGTGGAAGAATCGGTCCCGGCGCTCGGCGGGCCAGCTTCGGATGAAACTGACGATCATGACCCGCGGCAGCCACATGACGGGCCCGGCCGGAGTGGCCGGGTCGCCCGCGCGCCTGGGGTCCAGGTGCGGGAAGTGGCGGCTGAAGTAGTCGCTGCCCTCGAAGGCTGCGCGCTTGTCGTCCTCGCTCATCTGCGCCACTCTGCCCGTCACCTCGTCGACGCACATCCACTGCAGGTCCTCGTGCGTTTGTGGCCGCCTCACGCTCGCCCGCTCCAGCCGCTCTCGCTGCTGCGATCCCCTTCGCAGGAAATTCCTTCCGGATGCTGAGTCGGGGCGTCTCCCTGCCATCGCCGGATTGTTTCGGCGGCTCGTTGCTCCGGCGTTTTCTTGGAGCGATTTTGGAAATTCTCGATTAAATTTTAGGTCAAGCCGAGCTTCAGAACGAAGCTCGGATCGAGATTTGAACTGGTGGAGTTTGTATTGTGAAAATCAGTTAGGAGTGGGAAAGAATTTTGATTGCGATTTTAAAGCTGTGGATGCATGCATGGAAGTAGTGGAATGGAGTCTAGAGTCTGCCGTTCGGATTTGAAGTCGATCGTCGAGAGAAAGCTTCGAAGAATGTAGATGCAAGCACTATTGGAAGCGTGTTTGCGACCTACGGCCGTTTCTGATAACCTATCTCTCCCAAAAGTCGTGACGTATGGCCATGCTACAGGCTCAAAATCTGAGACTTTGATCTCAGATCCGCAAATGCAGATTCTGCAAAGCTTGGAATGTGTATGCACTCAGATTCGAGATCCGACCTCTGCGACAATTTGCACATTTTCCCCGATTGTGAACTGGATCTCCAATTTCGTGAGTGTGTCCTGCAATGCTGTCGTCTCAAACGGATGACTTGTGTGCACCGCAGTATCACAAAGTAGAGGATCGACGAAGTCCCTGAACCAATCGATGACACATGCAGGCAGGGTCCGTCGAGTTTAGACACACCAATTGAAAAGCTGTCCATTTAAAATGCAAATTCGATGTTTGCACTCTTATGCAACTCCCAGAACTGGCCCACCTACTCGACATTCATAGCAAAAATTGGATCTTTTTTAGCGCTTATTTGACGATTGAGTTTGTCGATGACTTCGGCGCAAAACTATCAACGTCAAAGCACTTGGATACTCAGCACCATAAGTCATGTAAACTTGGTCTGAAGTGATATATACTGTACCCAATGCCCATCGCGTGGTAGGTGATCGCAATACCGCAGCTTCATTTGTTTGTCAGAGTCTGGAGTACTCTCTGCTTTCCAGAACTTCAGTAAATTTCGGCGATTAAGAAAGACCTCCATAATTCCATGTTTTTGAAATAGTCTCTTGAAGAAGATTTTGCTCTGGTGGTGATGGTATGCACTTGTGCGGCGGTATTGTAAGGGAGCCAAAACTGTATATGAATAAAAGAGCTAAAAAGGCGCTTCGTGGCTTGACTTGTATTTTGGAGAACGCCCAAAGACCTCAAACTAGATGGTTATAAGAAATCAGACGAGCTGCTGGCGATGGGGAGAGATATGTTAGAAACCGAAAAAACCGCTTCTGATTATGTCCAATTAGTTTTAATGAGATCGTTATCAGATGTTATTCCGTTCTCGCGTGATAATGATATATTGAACATCATTCAGCTCAGATGATGTAACTACATAGTTAAAACTCCCAATAGTGACACATAAACGTCTTAGGGTTTTATGTCACTATTCGGAGTTGTCACTCACAAGAGGATGTTTAATCCGTTCTCGCGTTATTTGCTTTCCGTGGGTGCTTCTTTCTCTTTCGTTGCAATCTGTCACGGTTGTTATGTGTTAGGTGGCCGTTTTTTTCCTCTCGCAAAGCAATATGTCCTTGTTCGGTGGGAGTTTTTTTTTTCTCTTAATCTGCACCCGTTAGTATTCACACATGACCAAATGCAAGCGTCTGGACGTGAAGAAGAAGTTGGAAGTTTTGGATTTTCTGAATCAGCCCGGAGCCACCCATGAAAAAGCTGCATCGGCATTTTCGGTGGCACGTAGGACTTTCAAAAATCTGGAAAGAGAGAAATTATCAAATTAAGATCGGTTAAAACAGAAGTCTACATCGACAAGAGTGCAACTTCTTACATAAATGGTGCAACAATGGCATGTTCGCGTTGAGATCGATGTGTCCATGCACAATGTGACGGATGAGATGCTCAAGAAGAAGTCTCTGTTTTTTTGAGACAAAATTTTGCTTGGTTTTGCAGAATGTTTGACATCTTGAGATACAATTTTCCTGCAAACATTTGTTGCGTCGAATGGATGGCTGGAGAAGTATTTGAAGCGCATTTCAACGTCGAGTAAGAGGAGGTGCAGAGAACCGAACAATATCAGTGTCATGTAAGTGGAGAAACGTCTACAACAAATTCGTGAAATGTTATGCGATGTACCACTCGAATGCATCATTAACATTGACGAGTCGGCTTTACAGCCTCGCACGACGTCATCAAGATCGTACTGCACAGTCGATTCAGATGGTTGTGGAGTGAAGCAAAGTAAAAAATGAATTACAGTTACGCTTGGAGTTAGAGCTTCAGGTGAAAAGTTTATCATGCAAGTGATCACAAAGAGTGCTCGTCCACGTGCTTTGAAAGATACTCCTGACATAAGTAAGGCGTTTAGAATTATTTATGATCATTAAGCTAAAGCTTGCCAGGATACATCTTCATATGTGCGTATGCTTCACAAGTACAACAAAATTGCCAAGGACCACAACTGCACCTTGTACATACTTCAAGACAATTGTTTCTCTCACGTTTGTGCGTCTAAGATTTTAGATCCATAAGGATCAACAAATTTTTTTTTCAAATTCAAAAACTTGTGTATCATTTTTTTTCCTTTGAATGCCACTAGCGAATGTCAACCTCTTGATCAAGGTATCATTCGATCTTTCAAAGCTCATTTTTGTTGTGCTCAACTGAATCATTTAATGTCTGAGTATAAGACGTGGCAGGCGAGTGAACGAGCATCTTATTCTCAATTTCCAATCAACGATCATACCAATCAACGATCATACCCATCTACGCGATGTACTTAGTTGGGTGAAATCTATATCGTATGATATAGAGGAAAATACTATTCGAAGTTGTTTTGTTAGAAACAACTGTCTACCCCTTGTATCTAATGTACTTTTGAATCAAGATATTGATAGATACAATACCAGCTCAAATCAGGCCGTGAATGATTTGATGAAAACTCTTCAAAAAATTTGACTCAATGATTCAATCTCAGCGTCCTTGGATCTTGATGACTCAAGTATAGAAGTACTTTCCGAAGAGTTTATTGACCTCGATGCTGTTAATGCTACAGGCGACGATTATGTTGACGATGTTAGCATTGTCAAATCGGTTTTAGAGCAACATCATCTCTTGCAAAATGATAGTACTTTGAATGATGATGATTTTGGTTCGATTCTGCCTTTAGTCACAGTCCAGCAGGCGAATCAAGAGATCACTGATTTGATCAAATTTTTTCCTATCTAATCGTTTTTATCGACATAATTATAGAGTAAGTTGCTTTGCAACCTCCAAAGAGCTCGTCGTCCTTTGATACATCAACAGAAGATTGGGAAATTTAGACGGTTGAGACATTCAACAATCATATTGTAAATTATATTTATATGATTCGATAGTTTTTGAATTAAGTTTCATCGAACTCGACATTTAGTTAATGTTTTTCTATATTTTTAAAATTTTCAACCTCCAATTGAATGAAATAAAATCTTTATTTCCGCATTCAGTGGCAATGAATTAACATTTTGTTGTGAGGAATTTCATTCGATTGATTCATTACGCAGATCTAATTTTCTCTCTTTTGAGTTTAGCCCACGATTATACTCGTGTGCAGTGGATGTGGAGTCAAAGTTCAAAAAGTTTTACGCAGATCTAAATTTTTCTCTTTTGAGTTTAACACATGGTTTTAGTCTTGTGTGTTAATTGCTTGATGCTTGTGAGAAAGATTCTTATTGATCTTCATCGAGAGCATTACACCTGTAGATTTTGGATGCAAAATTTGCATTTTGACTAGTGATTGTCGGAATGGGCTGCATCTTTCTCATTTCCACTCATAATCAAAATCCTAATTGTTGATATCGTGGCTCTCTACACTTTGATAGACACACACACCGAACAACACTATGATTGGTTGCGGCATGAACGATGTCACGTGAAGCATTTGGAGGATTGCAAGGCCGAGGAGAGAAACGTACAGACGCATAGTGCATTTCTAACTGCAAAACACTGTGAGCCATGCTTATAATAGTTGAGTATAAACGCCGTTCCGTGATGTGGATTGTTGAGCTATAGAGGTTGAGGCCTAAGTCCGCTATAACTCACCGGTTTGTATCATGTTGCTCGCAGACTTGGATCCAAATGTATAATAGAGGGTGAAAGCGGTTTCAAGAAATTATCCACAGCTTTTTGAATTTTTGCTGTTTTTGACATATGACGCATAATATCTTGTCGATTCACCATCAGATATGCTTCATTCCCAGCGTGAGGTTGAAATCTGGTGTCTGTAGTATGTGATAGGTGTACTTTTCCTTCTAATTTATGATACTCTAGTCGTGCACTCGGACATTTGAAAAAGAATTTTTAAAGTTGTTTCGATCCGTCGAAACAAGAGTCTTTAGAACTTTTACCTTTACTTTGGCGGGATCTCTAAATCTGGTCACCAGCACAGTTTAGATATTTTTTGAGGCGATCACTTCAATGAATCAATCCAAAGTGCTTCCTGCATGCACTCTACTTTGACGACCGATACAAGCCTTTTGCTACCATGTAGCTTTGTTTGGATGTTACTTCATCTTGCTGCTGCTACTGATCTGCCACTCCCTATGAAACATCTACCAGAGCAGATTCATCTCCCCAATGAAGTGCACTCTTACTGGTTGCTTGCTTTAAGAATGCAGCGATTGCTTGTGGTGGATCGGAAAGACTCTTGCAATTGTTTTGTCCTGAAAGTAGGGACTGGCCCCATGAAAGTGATACAAAATCAGATCCTGCCTTTGTATCTGTATGTATAGAGACATCGACTGTATGATTTCATGAAAAATCTCGGATTTCATGAAAAATCTCCCATTTAATGGTGTTTCGAGAAGATAAGTGACCTTCATTAGTAGGAGGATCAACAAACTCCACTTCTTTTGATGATATGGACTCATTGAAAGAAACATCTCTACTAACAACAAGTTTATAGCCTACATAATCCCAAAGTTGATATAGTTTGACATCACGTTGATAACCAAGAAAAATAAATTTGATAGCCTTCTTATCAAGCTTAATTATCAATTTCCGAGGAACATGTGCATAAGTATCACATCGAGACACTTTAAGATAAAATTAATTAGCATTTTCTTTATGTCACATTTCAAATGGAGTCTTGTAATTTGTTGCACTACAAGACAACACATGCGATAAAGTGTAGTATGAGACTTCCAAGGAGCTCAAAAGTTGCAATGTCTTTTTCTCATCATTCAAATCCTCATCCAAGTTCAAAAGATACACCAATAAATTATTGAAAGCATCAGTGTCATCTTGGATCTTTGTACATTTGAAGAGTTTGAAGCTCATTAGTTTTAACAATGTGAAAAGTTGATTTGACAACTTCTTCATGTGATATTTTGTTTCAAACGCTTGAAACATAGTTGTCATAGTCTTCAACACCTCGAATTGTTTCAACAATTTATTGCCGCTAAGGATAGGTTTGAAATTATTAAACTCAAAGTTCAATTCAATTATGAATTTAATATAAAAGATTTAGGTCTTGTAAGCGTATTCTAGGCATCGAGATCCACAAGAATGATTCATCAAGCAAACTTTGATTGACTGTAATAACCCACTAAAGGCTAAAACTGCAATATAGTGGTAGAAAGGTCGAACCCACAAGGACAGAGGCAGCACACAGAGTACAAAGTGTCACATTTAATAGACTATTGAAGAGTTTGAATTCTCAGGCGACTGTCACTCCCAGAAATACTACAAGTGTTCACTCGGAGCTCACTCGGAGGTCGCACAGTGCAGCGTAGTTCACTCAACACACACACACATACCTGAAACTATAGAAACACAACTCAGAGGTCGGTTGGGACCTCTACTTAAGAATTCAGGGGGGAAAGTCTCTCGCGAGTACACTCAGCAAATCTGCGGGTAGTGACTCCCAACTCCGACTTTTACAACCATTCCACTAGCTTTCTCCTAGCGTGGGGAACCCGGGTTGGACTTCCTACTTCGGATCGAAGTCACTCACACGCGGTGAACAACACGCTCAACTCACAAAACGCGCAGAGAACACAGGTCCGCACGGAGGGACTCAACTGAGAAACGATCCAGTAGCACACCATAACAGTCTATTGAAGAGTTTGAATTCTTAGGCACTTGTCATTCCCAAAAATACTACAGGGGTTATCCTGAAGGCACCTGCTGCAGCGTAACCTGAATTTACAACCAAGGCTTACACGAAGTAGCAAAACTTCACTTTGGCATTCAGGGGAAAAATCCCGAAGGAGTACAATCAGAAACAATCACTCGAAAGTGTAAGGGGGAAACTGTTCAAGTATCTAACTCGCAACTGGCTCTGAGCATCGGCAATCACCCGCAGGTGTAGATCCGAACTACTTAAGTCTCTAACCAGTGTACTAG